AATCGAGTGTTTTACGAAAATCTGTTTTCCTTCGAAAAATGCACGCGGCTTACTCACATATTCTTTGTGCCATGATGGATCTTCAATGTACTTGGTTTTTATTTTCATGCCATCAGCACTAACTTCAATCAATGTGAAACCCAAAGTTTAGGTAAGCTTCGTGATATTTTTGCGATTATACGATACTTGCCGCTAATCCCAGTCGCCCAGTGATTTTAAGGTAGGGGGGGGGGCAATATATTCAGTAAAAGGGGTAGCAGGGTGAAACAGAACTTCTAAAAATCGCTCCCATAGCCAGTCAACAACCACAAAGCTACTTCTTCTTAATCTCACATAACACCATAGTGCATAGTCACTTATATAACACGACACATCCCAAACTGGCAAAAGAGCATACGCAAGACTAGACAAGTTGAAGAACTAATGCGCAACTTACGTTAATAAATGTAAATCCTGCCAAGCAAATTCCGAAGGCACTGCACATGAACTGACTTAAAAATACATAGGAAAATATATTCTCAATATCTTCCGTCAACCTAAAATCAAATTTTTTTAATAATTTACGAAAATTCCGTTAAGTTACACACTTAATCACCGCAGAGTGATGCTCTATGCATTCTCTTAGCTCATGCAATACTTCCTCGTCAAACTTTTCATGGTTGCTGATATGTGTCTGGTACTCTTTTTTGAACTCGTTAGTTGTAGATACAATAGTATCCCCTACTATCGCAAAATATGCTGAACAAAGGCCCATCATGCTTGTAGACAAGTTGTCAAACCCTATACTTGTCAGTGCACCTGAAGTTAACGTCAAAATCTGAAAGAGGTAAACTGCATAGTAGACTGCGATTGAGTGCTCCCGGAAATCCAATGGAAAAGGTAAAGGAACGGTTCGATTTCCTTGCGAGATTACGAGAGGAGCGGACAGTATAAAAAATATACTGGTCGTTCCGCTGAAGAAGAATAGCTTCACCACTGCCGTGGCTATTTTAATAATTCGTTTTAGATGGTTGTCAGCTTCCTCTTTGTGATAACAAAAATGGCGTGACTTGAGAAAGTCTAAAAGATTTAAAAACGCCGGTATCTTAAAGTAGAATACGCCATATTTAACGGAATAGTTGAGAACGTTTATAAACAGAGACCATCCTTGTACTATTCGAGAAAATTCTGGCACCACCATGGTACTTAATAGCAGCGATACAGCAAAACTAGTAACCATTACGTAATGGGTGACACCGTACACTTTGTAAAATGTGGTTGCATTTCTTCGTGGCCAAGCGCCAGTTAATGTCATTATTCTTTTTTGAATTATAAATGCGTCAGAACCGACTGAAATACCCATCTCAAATCAACTACCGACTTCCTTATACATACGTCAATACTTAAATGGAAAAAATGTCTTCATATTGCATGAGAAGCTAGTCGTTGAAATGCAAATTAATATCGTCGTAAAGTAAATTTGTTATAAGCTAATCGATTGGTATAGTTACTGTATTTCAATTGAGGTAACTGTATTAACATTTAACAGGCTAACTTTATGGCGCAGCTGGACTATTAGGTAGGTATACAAACTTAAGGGCAATTATTTACGAGCATAATAGCGCAGATGATTAATTTTCGGAAATCTGGAAACAGTGTCATCTCTTCACTTACAAGTAAAATGAGGTAGTTGTAGTGTCTCAAACATTCGTAATTTATCGGAATTTCTATTCGATCCATTGCTTTTTATGAAATGCATAACATTTTGCAAACAAAGAAGGTGTAGCACATATAATGGAGTGAATTAAATTGCAAATGTTCGTGCCATAGTTTTATACTCATTTTGTACTAATTTGTACTGTAAGTAACTAATTTTGAACCAGTACTTTTTAACCGCTAGGATCAACTATGAGTTTTGAGCTTCTTTTCGAAATGAGAAAAGTCCCTAAGGTTAGAACTAAATCACGGAGAAACTGACAGTAGTTTTACTAAATAATCATATTTTTGTATGTTGTCTTTATGCCTCGTATTATGATTATGAATAGCTGGAGTGCGTTTGGAACGCCGCTTGGTTGCATTTAGCGTATAGGACACATTCTAGCTAGGATATAAATTGATGGCAGAGTTTTTTTTTAATGGTTTGATGCAAAGCATATTCAACCAGCTTCAATATGTATGTATTAATTTAATTGGAGAAAAAGGATAATGAAAGAGGTCACACGCTTCTCGTCAAGGGACCCATCAAGACATTTTTTTTTGTTTTTGTTACAAGGCTTACCACAAGTAGGATAGTAACAGAGGTACAAGACCAAGGGAACTCACAGGAATACTTTCGTTTCACAAATAAATTCGAACAAGCATTCATTTCATTTCTATTTAGCGCTAATAAGGAGCATATATTATGAGGAGGGAAGAGATTTTCTTTAATTAATTTATCGATTAAGTTTTCGGATTGTTGTCTATATTTTGTACAGTTAAAAAAGATTATGGTTTAGATCACTTGTTTCTCTACAAAGTTGGCACGCATGTCCAAACCTCATTCTAATAATAGTCGTTATATACTTCAGGGGAACCTGTATATTTTTGAACCAGTACTCGTTTGGGTCGCCAGGTTGTATTATGGAATATTGCGTACTGGAAGTGGCACGGAAGTTATTCCAGGAACTTTTACGGCTCTCCTTATTTTTCTTTTTTAAGTATGCGTAAACATCGGGAATACCAAGTTTATAGTCCGTTGTGGAACCTTGCGTAATAGCTTTTTTTGCTAGTTGATCTAATGTTCGTTATCTTTAAGTCCTATAAGGGGTTTAACCCATAAGAAGTGTATTTCTTTATTCACATTAAATAATTCATTTATCATTCATTCATTTATCATACAGGCCAATTATCTAGAATGGATTTTAAAATGTTTTGGCTTATTTTAGGGTTTTCAGAGTCATTGGGTTCAGTAACGTTAACATTTTTGAAAAAGGAGAAATAGTCTCCCAGTTCCCAGGTATTTGTGTGGTTTACCGAAACACCTTCCTCATTAATAGAACGAAAAGCCGAGCAAAGCGGTGGTGAGTTTGTTTGATAAATCTTGTTCATTAAGGAAACAAATACTATTGTACAATGTAGGGTTTTGACATTGAATTTTAATAAGAAATTTCGAACTTAGATATTCTCTTCTTAAATCTAGTTGTGGTTCGAGGGCCTCTACATACAGTGGTGTGATAGGGGTGGATTTCATTGCACCTAAACAAATTCGCAGAACAGTGCTTACAAAAATTTTAATTTTATTCAACAGATGTTTACTTGCCGACCCATAAAGTATGCATCCATAATCTAACATTGATCTAATGTAAGACCGATAAAATAATAAAGAGCTGGCGACATCTGCTCCCCACCAGGTTTTGGAGATAGATTTCATGAAATTTAGTCCTTTATTGCACCTGTTTAACATATATTCAGTATGTAGTTTCCAGATTAACTTCTAAATATTTTATTGATTTGCAAAAAGAAAAATGACAGACTTAGTATATGCAATGTGCGTAATGAGTTTCTGCTGTCAGCATTTCTAATCGTACAACCGCAGTTCTTGAACCTGTGTCAGTTTGCGCGCGCAGTTATAGGAGCTCTCCGATCATTTCTTAAGATCTTCAGTACACGATCATCTGTAAAAGGTATTTCCGGTTGACGAAGAGATCAGACGATATATATTATTACCCAGAAAACCTTACCAGTCATCGAGAATTGCAGGATACGACCGCTCTGAATTAGCATCAGAAAAGCAATTGCACATCGAGTTATCAAGATTTTCAATAAAGTAATATTTTTATTTTATTATATATTATGTATATTTTCTGATTCGACCATTATTGCCATCGTAAGAAAAAAATGCCTCATATTTGCATCGTACATAAATCAGACGATGTATTATTTGCATTAGACAGGATTTATTGATTTTATCCAACACCTCTATGTTATCCAGTCATTATCATGACGAAATTAAACGAGTAAGGTATAATATAACCCACTAATGAGTTATGGACGTAAAATAACTCACTAGCAAGATAAAGTACAGGAACCATAAGTAAATCCATATAAATTTTCTGACTAAATTTTTTGTTGTTTATATTCCCCATAGCAACGAATTATTGCTTTTGTATTCCATGCACTCTAGCTTTTCGCGGAACACGCAGTTTTTAAGATTTCCACGTTTTAAACCAGCTTGAGGAGGTGTTGGATAAAGTTTTGTATGGTGCACGTGTGTTAATTACAAATAAGTCACTTGAGAAAATAACCCCACTCGGCCTGACGGCCTCGTGGGCTTACTTTTTTCTCGCGTAACTTATTTGTAATATAACACACTTATACCATAAATAACTATAAAGGTATAATTCAGGTAATGTATCGATTTTAATATTATGGGATATTTAAAAGTAGCGCTTTATCTGAGGCCAACGTTCCCAATGTTTCTTGTCATAAAGCTACCCAAATTAAGTTTTAGATATGCAAATATCACATTATTTATTTACCACGGACTTAATGCATAACAGATATTTATAATAGGCAAAGTAAAAAAATTTTGTTTTTCTCTATTCCGTGCAGGGTCGGGCTGGGCGCCATCGGGCGGTCGCGATCTTAACAAGCAGGCCGCGTCACAACTAAGAAGCAAAGCGCTGTAGATTTCCGGACGGACCGCTCAGCAATGTACAGGCTTGCGAGATCTACTTCTAATGTAATAGTTGATATAGGTATAGATCATAATATATAGATGTGGTTTCTCTGGACCAAAATGATCGTTAGATAGAAATTTCGTGCAAATTATACCTACTTATATTTAATAATATTCTAGCGTCATTTTATTATTGGTTTTTGTCGAAGCTGCTCTACCAAGATATCCAGCCGTAACCAAAATTTGCCTTGGTCGTAGTCGTAGCCGTATGTGATCAAACTGACTGCAGATCACTCTACATTTTCTGAAATTTGTGAGAAGGGTAATATAAACCACTAGAGCACAAAATTTGTATAGAAATAACTGGGATTTACTTTATTTATTTATCCATAAGTCGTAAATTATACAGACAGAAAATGTGAGATCATTCAGACTTCATCACTTTCCAATTTTCTTAAATTTTCCGTTTCGTTGATCGCCTTTTCGGACGATTTCTCGCTGTCCTTCTCTTGCTTCGCATTAGGAACCAAGGCATCTCCAACTAACGATTCACTTAGTTCTTCTAATTCGTTTCGTATCATCAGTTTTTTAAGTGCACTTTCTAAATTGTTGCTCAAATTGGTAACCTGCAAACGATTTAATACTTAGGTAATAGACATTCATTAGTATAGTTAGCATCAGGTACAAACTTGTTTATCTATTTGACTGTCGCCCTCTGAAACCCGTTTAAACTTTTCTAAAACGGTTGAAGCTTGTTCGTATTGTCCAACTGTCAGTAGGGCAAGAACGGTGTTCAGCATTGTGTTGTAATCGTTCTTTGATAGGAGCTCCGCTTGCTGAAAGGCTTTTACCGCATTCTCGGGATCTTTCAATTCAAATAATGCGCCTAAATATAAATAGGTTTAGGTTTCTAATTTTTCAACGAAAATCCTTACATCCCAAAGCAAGAAATGGTAGAGCAGCGTCCGGTCGCAAATTAACAGCGGCGCATAAAAAGTTGAAAGCGGATGCGGGTTGGCTGGTTGACAAGTGCACCAATCCCAAATTCAGCAGGACTTTCCAGTTTAATGGAGATATCCAAAGTGCTCGTTTCAGGCAGCTGATGGCCTGGAAAAATATTAGTTACGTGGTTGAATTGTTCTTAATTTTGGAGGCAAAATGTTCCGATAAAACTGTGGAAAATCAGAAATTCAACTATATCCACGTTCCTTCTATCATAGTGTCTCATTTTCAAAATCCTGGCACATGTTACCATGAGAAATCATAAAGTATTATACAGAGCAACGTACCTAGGCTTTTGGAGTCCACGAATCTCGCCGATGATGCAGAGGCCTTGAAAACTAACATCTAGAAAGGTTAAAAGTACTCACCGCCACATACTTTTGCTTCGCGAAAAAGCACATCCCAATGTTGTTCCATAAAGCGATTGAATCTGGATTTATCTGGACAGCGATTTTATATTTCGATAGAGCAACTTCATACTCCTCGTGTGCCTGCAATAAGTAACGGTTAATTAAATTTTGATTCTCTCAATTTCAAATGGCAAGCACATTTGAAATTGTTGACCAATCATACGCCTTTCGGATTACAGTATCGTCGGATTTCGTATGCATGTGAATCCAGCTTAATAGATTCGTTGACACCCTGTATACCGGTCTACAGACGTGCTTAAATAAAAGCTAATTACATTTACCGCAGCATCTTTTCTCGTGACTATTTTGCTTGACATTGGGGTCGAAAGTTGAGCACACTTTAAAATTTTACTTTTTTGAAAAAAATTAAAAATTTGAAATTATTGTAAATGTTTGTAGAGCTGTATCTTGGTAAGTATCGAACGTACAGGGCTGGTTTTGGTCTCAATTTTAAAAATATTTTTTAATAAAAGTCATAGATTAGGTAGCTAAACGAAATTTCTGAAGTCTGAATCATCTTGACCACAACCCCATAGAAACGTAGGTCAAAGTATGGAAAGGGTAATCCTACTGATAAAAATGATGCGATATGTCTGGATGAAAACAATGTCTGGAAAGGCTACAGTTAAAATAGTTCGATATTTCCAATGAAATCTGTAGGTAATATTATTAGTCCATGGATATTACCACAGTAGTTAATCTCTGATATTACGTATTGACAGGTTGCAACTAAAACAGTTGTTTTACCTTCCACAACGTTTCTGAGTAATTTGGGGAGGTATGCATCATATTGGAGTAACAGTGCGGTTTTGGACGACTACACCACTGTGGTGGGGAAGGAACCCATAGGTTAGGTCACTCCAGGGACAGACCTAGACAAAAAAATTGGGGGGGGCAGACATGACTTTTTACCAACTCAACTGAAAAATTTCCAACTCAAACGGGAAGTATCTATTAAGAATTAAGTGGTATTTTCAAGTCTAATAAATCATGTAGAAAATGTAGGATATCAGTATACGGTCTCTAATACTAATTAAAAGCATTACCAAAATACCAACCTTGTGTTGAAGAAGGAAGTGACTTTCCTATTAAAGAGTCTTTTTTTATAGATTTTGCCGCAATTCCTCATTCCTTCAATGGTCGATTTATTACATTTACGATTTACCTACTTTCGCGGCATTCGCCAACTGGTAATGAAAATTACCAACTCTTGTCAAAATTGCCAACTAGTTAAGTATTGGAGGGGCAGCCTGCCCCCCCTTGCCCCCCCATAGGTCCGTCGCTGGGGTCATTCGTCTCATTTTCAGTCGTATCTATATGTATGTGGAGGCTAATAGGTTATTAACCTGTGCCTAGCCCTCCAAGCGCCTTTTTATTTGTTTGTAGCTGGTGTTAACTGTTAAAACTAGGAACTGATTATACTTATGTTCTATTTCAAGCTTTCTTGACCTTCGTTGTTCAAAAAAGTATAAGGTTAATTAAACGCAGAACAAAGGGGTAGGTAAGTAACTAAATCTTTACATATTTTTTCACTAGAATAAACCTCAATGCAAAAACAGATTAGCGCTACTGAACACGCACAGTCCCTGAAAAAAAATCATTAAACCACTACAAGTGAATCTTTTTTATAATTCTAAAAGTTGTTTTAATTTATTAAATAGTTGGTACATATACTACTACCTAACTCAGTCTGTAATTGTACAATCTTGAGAAAAGATCTCTAAGGGCATTTTTTTTTATTTTCTGAGAAAAGAAAAACCACCCCTTAAGGTGTTTTCCATATTAACCAACAAAAAGGAAGGTATGCACTGTCCTGGTCTACAGTAATACAACTTGTCAACTTTATCAATTTCAATTTTATTATACGTTGTTTTTTAATCTCATTCGTATAAATATATATACAATAATATACGGTATCCTCTCCCTACATTAATCCATTTTAGCGCATTTCCACAAAAATAAAAAAAAATGCGCTATTGTGGCCACTTTGTCCGTCAGTCCGCTCGTTTTGCGAGGCTACAAGTTCTTTATCTTAAGAGCTATTGTTCTACTTTTTTCGCTATTTGGTTCGTTATGGTGTCGAGTCTTGTACCAAGGAAGGAATTTTTTCTGCGTTTATTACTAAAAAAATTATTGTAAAAAAACCAACAAACCGTTTTTACATGTTCCATAATTTTACACTTTTGCCGTTCATTAACCATCCTACAGATTATTTATAATTTTGTATTGTTGTCTGTCGTCTGTCTGTTGGTCTGTCCGTCTGTTCCTGTGCCTGTCTGTCCCTCTATCTGTCCGTGTGAACGATAACTTTGTTTAGAAATGTCCGATCGCTTTTACATCTCCGTTAGTTATGAACTGAATTGCATAAAATTCAATATGGGCATAGCCTTAGCCATATAATACGCAATGCCAAAAGTTGAGTCGAATCGATTCAAAATTCACAGTGCCCTTTTCGCATCGCGACCATTCATAAACCGAATTGCAAACTTTTTTCTTATAAAAGTATTTTAATGAAATTTGATACATAGGCACTTGGAATAAAGGAAAATCTAACGCCAGTTTCAAAATTTGGTTTTGCGCATGCGCAGTGCCAACTTTTTATTTATGGAAGAATTTAAACGAAATTTGATACATAGGCACTTGGGATAAAGGAAAATCAAACGCCAATTTCAAAATTTTGTTTTGCGCATGCGCAGTGCCAACTTTTTTATTTATGGAAGAATTTAAACGAAATTTGATACATAGGCATTTGGGATAAAGGAAAATCAAACGCCAATTTCAAAATTTGGTTTTGCGCATGCGCAGTGCCAACTTTTTTATTTATTGAAGAATTTAAACGAAATTTGATACATAGGCACTTGGGATAAAGGAAAATCAAACGCCAATTTCAAAATTTGGTTTTGCGCATGCGCAGTGCGAACTTTTTTATTTATGGAAGAATTTAAACGAAATTTGATACATAGGCACTTGGGATAAAGGAAAATCAAACGCCAATTTCAAAATTTGGTTTTGCGCATGCACAGTGCCAACTTTTTTATTTATGGAAGAATTTAAATGAAATGTGATACATAGGCACTTGGAATAAAGGAAAAATCTAACGCCAGTTTCAAAATTTGGTTTTGCGCATGCGCAGTGTCAACTTTTTTATTTATGGAAGCATTTAAATGAAATTTGATACTTTGGCGCTTGGAACAAAGGAAAATCTAACATTAGTTTCCAAATTTAGGTTTGCGCATGCGCAGTTCCAACTTTCTTATTTAGAAAAGCAATGAAATTGAAATAGCATGTCAAAAATGGATTGCTCATGTGCAACGTTATCTTTCATATTTGTGGACGGATTTTTACGATTTTAATAGAAGTTGCATCTTACAAATGGGAAATGAATGCAAGTGGAAATGCGCTTTATGTAAATCGTTTACGATTACTTTTTAACTTGTTTGCTCTTATTGACGTCAATTGAAAATGTTTTTCTCATCCCACCTCTTTCACCAAAGTCTTTCACCCACATGCCTGATGTTTGTAAATCCCTGTGAAATTCAACTTTTTTCAAAGTTCTCACAAAAGTCCCATTAATTAAGTTTCGATTGGAGTTTTAAACCTACGTTCTGCACTTTTAAATATTCGCATCTAATATTCCCCCTTTTCATTTCATCTTGCCGATTAAGATTGCCAATAAATAACTCGTTTGTGCGAACATCTAGTTCTTTTTGAACTTTTAATTACTTTCTTCAGATTTTCATCCTACCATCTGATTGTTTATATCGACGATGTACTTACCTATTACTGAAATTCCTTTGCAAAATCCGTTTTGTTCTGTTTTTCTCGTTAAAAAAGTGAACTCGTTATTTCCCTCTCGTTTGTAGATACTATATCTCTTTTCTTTGCAAGCAAAACTGTCCAATTCTCATCAACTCGTTCTGCACTCCACCGCGCATTTACTACAAACACTATTCCCGATAGGTGTAATTATTATTGGTGGAATAAAACCACCATTTTGTTTGATTGCACTTTGTTCTTTAAACAAGGATAGTTTAAAACGTTCATTTTTGATTTTATCACGTTACTTTGAAGAATTTTAAATGTGATCAGTGCAATGATACAACCAACAATAAGGCTAATTTAAGAAATCGTCGTCTATTTAATTGTGAACAATGGAATTACACAAAGAACAATAAGGACAAGTTAAAGAATCATCATCTAGCGCGTAACATTTCCAAAGTCTTCAATTGTGTGTAAAAGTTTTTTTTTTTAATCGGTTTTTTATCAATTATTCATAAACCTTTCAGCCGATTCGAAACGTTGTATCAAAAATCTGTCAACGGTGTCTTGTACAGCTAAAAAAGTGGCAATGAGAAAATGTTTTATCTTTTTATATCTGTTCAATCAAGAAAACAACAAAACGAAATTGGCAAATTTCGGTTTTTCTGTTATATCTTCGGAAGTAATCGGAAATTTCTAGCTTTCTTTAAAGCTTAATAATAACTCTTTATTGCTTTAATCTTTTCTTTAATTTGACCATGGTCAAAAATATTCAACAAAATAAAAAGCAACGTGGCTAACAGTAGACTAACCAAAAACAAGTTACCCACATTTACCTGAGTGATGCATCCAATACCCAAAAGCGCCTCTGAACAACTGGGATTCAAAGCTACGGCTGAACTCAAACATTGAAATGCCGGCTGGACTTGCCCCAACTTCAGGTGAAGAAGGCCAGATTGCGTTAGCATCGACGTGCTATCGGGACAAGACCTAATTTAATTAGAGATTTTCGTTATCATCACTATTTTATACGGGAGACAACGAATCTTACTCTAAAGCTGCATTGCTGACATTGATAGCTGTTTGCAAATCTCCTTCCGATATCAATATTTTGATTAGGAGCGTGTACGAGCATTCCTGTTTTCCTAACTGTACTGCCTTCTTCGTATACTCTTTGGCTTTAGCGTTTTCTCCCAAGGAGACCCAGCATTGCCCTGGAAAAATCAGAACAATAATGAAGTATTGAACATTGCGTATTTGCACAAACACTATTTGTTTACAAAAGGTTTTCGCTTTCGTGAATAGACGCGGAGATCTGAAAAATGACTGTCGGATCTCGCTACTTTTATAAATATATTATCGTATCAATTAAACGAGAAATTTTCTGAATTACATCCATTGGGACCAAACGCTACGCTGCCTTGCTACTTACTGTGGTTGGGTTCTTAATTTCGTGCATCTACATTCGTCATCCTGTCGAGACAGAAACTCCTTCATTCTGAGTTGTATTTCTGACGTTATGATTTCTTTTAGTTACGTATATAAGTTGACTAACATGTTTTCCCCTTTTCCTCTATCTATCCCATCTGTCCATTTGTCCTATTTTTTTATTCCGGTCATTGCGATAAGAGCGTTATCGCTACGTAGGTTAATCAGTTTCAAGATAAGATCGCCGAAATTAGCAGATGTTAATTGGCGTATTTGAGCGTATTTGAAAAGACAATCTGTCTTGTTTAATTGTCAAGTTGTGTAGAAGAAAGCTAGAGAGTATTTAAAGAATTTCCTTTACGTCGTGATAAAAGTGAACGATAAGTCGAAGTAAGTGGAGGCGTGTTTTCACGTTTACGAAAAAGTTTAGTCGGAGTACTGTGGCTATCGATATTATTTCGATTTCTGACTATTTCGTTCGTTTATTTCCGTTTAGTTAACTCTGTATACGAAAGGGTTACTTAGGCATGACATTTTTTTATGTAAATTGATCGTGTTTTTAAAGTTCCAAAATATTTTTCGTTAACATTTCAGGTTCTTTTGAACTTGGTGCCTTTCACAACCCAATAGTGTTACCGTATACGATATGTTACTTACCAATGTTGTGATAAATCTCCCAATCGGGTTTAGTTGAAATTCTTTCTGCTTCCAAATATGCTTCTAGCGCAATCCTGTACTTTCGCAATAGGTATCTTAAATATTAATAAAACGTGTTATTATTACAAACATGCATTATTAAATGTACATTTGCTGGTATGAGTCTTTCGACGATAAATATCCACTTTATGTATAATGTACTAGACGTTTTCCAGCTTTGATTCCGAAAGTATCAGATCACATTTAAGTATTTCAGATTGTACCATTTCAATTTCAAAAGACAGCAATTGAATTTCAGTTTAGTCAATTTGGATTTAGAACATAGCAAATGTATATTAGGCTATATAACTTAATTTCAGAAAAGATGAATTCTATTTCAGAGAAAAACATTTTTCTTTCAGAAATTATATTTCAAATTCTGAACGACCGTGGTATTATATAATATGAGCGAGGCATGATCGACAACATATTGATCTTATTATATACTTGAATCGTTCATTATGTCTATGATCAATCGTATATTGTGTTATAAAAGAATACCTCGAAACTGTCATACATTTCCCAGTATGCTATAAATTGAAACAAGCCTTTTATCTAAAATATGTTTTATTCCCAGGTTGCTCATTTCGGAAATTTCTGATGTACAGTAATTATGTGTGAAATGAAGAATTTGGCATTTGTTAACATTTGGTACTCGAAGACAATTTTTCACAATCGTTTCGATTTAGGGTCATTTGGTTCCAGTGGTTTTAGCAGGGAGGACTATGGTCCGAGTCTTAGCAACGTCGCGGCAGTTTAGTTTCATTCACGACTTTATTCAATGTGAAATCACAGGGAACATTGTCGACAACTACTACCGTATCCTGCCAATAATTACTGCTTTCATTTTAGTGCGTGAAGCTCTGGTGTAGTTCGTCCGGAGCAGTTCATTTTGCAAGTTTATCATTTTGCGCACATTTGAATTGACATTCACAGTACGTAAATAACCACAAAATATTCCAAGGAACAAGCAAATAGGTGGTGCTTGAGGAGACAAGGGAAATCCAATTTCGGGCGCGTCAGAGCTCGAAGCTTTCTTAAAAGGAACACAGGGCATCGTGCACGGTACAGCTTAGAGCTCCTCTTTCACTCAAACGGAAAGCAGTAAATGTAAGCAGACTAGCCATGCATATAAGCAGCTTTTGAAGTAAAAGATCCCCGTCGCCGTTCTATCGAGATAATTGTTGCCAAATTGCCATCGGGCTTAGTTAAACCGAATTATTTTTGTCTCGATGCATAACAATCGCTTTCAAAGCCGGCTTTAATACTTAAGATCTCTTAGGTAAATCGGCGAATACGGGCATAAAACAATAAAGGCCAAAAAATGAAGTTTCTAGCATGACTTTTATGTTGTTCTTAAGGAATGAATATTTAACTTGTAAAGAAAGCGCTCGGGGACAGTTAAAACTCTTTCATTGTATAGTAAAACGTAACATACTTTGTAAAAAGGAGTACAAGTTGGTCGGTGAATGAAATTCATGCATTCCAGTTAGGAAAGGTGCAAGATTGTTGACACCAGTTACCAAGTTAAGAAGAAATGTGCTGTTTAGAAGATTCAGTGCAAACTACTACCTATTGGAATACTGCAGATAAATTCTTATCAATTAACATTAATTAATTGAAATAGAGATAATATTTGCAAGTAGCTATAATCCTAGATGAATATGTGTATGGTCTGATATGAATTAATGGAACAGATGAGGGCGTTGGTCAGAGACGGACTTAATAAATTAAAGCTAGGAGCATTGAATAATAAGATTTATTATTCAATGCTAGGAGTTACAGATTTTTGTATGCGCTTTATTATTCCTGCAAATTAAGACGCGCGAAATTATGCGTTCGGCTGTTAACTCTTTGTAATTGGAAATGGAATTGACCCAACTGTTGTATTTGCACAATCCCAATTTTTTTATTTGTTCAGATATTTTAATGAAGTTTTGTATGTAGGCAACTCGAATAAAAGTAAATCTAATGCCGATCCAAAAAATGTGTTTTACAAGCTATGCCGATCTGGTGAGACAAAATCAACCCCTTAAGGTATGTTGTAAAAATGATGTATTGATCTCAAGGATCGTTCGTTATTTAGTTGTATCGGATTATTGTTTTTTATATTAGTAGTTTAGTTCTTCAGTTGAAATATCAGCATGTACTATTATTGTATTCGTTTATAAATACAAGATACAAATGGTAGGTAGTATGTAAGTCAGTATTTAAAACCTAATTTACAGTCCATCGCTCCAGTGTATCATTTTGTTTGAGATTTTATTTTTTTTTATTGTATCCGTTCTAATCAAGGCAGCTGCCAACAATCAATAAAAATGACTGACGGTAGAAACATGTCATTTCGAAATTTGAAATATTACATTAACAACTTCTGTCATGCCGTCACACAACAATTTGCTAAAGGAAATAGGTATATACTTAAGTATTGAGTTTGTTGTAGCCAATTTCTGTAATCAAATAAGTAATTTCATTTTTTTCATGTTAATTTTTCAATAAGTACATCTGAAAACACTAAATATTTCTGAAACAGTTGGAAATATGTACAGGACATTTTACATCAAATATTCTACAGTGTTCTGACGGATCCAAAAATTGAATAATATACAGGGGACTGTATTTAGGTAAAATAAGATAAGTTGGTGTTGGTCACTGTTGGGTCACACCACACCCGGTATTAAGTTTTTGGTGCACGCAAGTTTTTTCTAGATGAGGGTCTAATCTAGAATTTTTTTGTAACCTCTAGCACTGACATTTTTTAATTGAAATGCTTAATTGTTCCACCTTGTATACTTCGTACCTATATACTTACAAACATTTAGCAACTTCTTTAATATTATCAGCATTGTCGCAGTTGAGTTTATGACACATCTGAAATGATTCCAACGCTTCCTGAATTTTATCTTCTTCTCGTAAAATAACACCCTGAAATAGCAGACAAGTTATTCGTTAATGATATGTCTTGCAAATTATTATATGTGAGTACCATGTGCACAACAATTCTATTTTTTTAAACGGCACTGCCACTAAATAAAAAGCAAGATAAAAGCATTGACTCCGCTTCCAAATACTATGAAAAAAGTAATAATATCATCATTTTGCAGTATAATCGATCGCCAGAACAGCTCATGGGAAAGTAACTCGTTGGGGGAAGTTAAGCTACACATACTGTCTGCAAAGTATGGAATATCGTAGATATATATTACCTACTGTTAATACTGATTCTGCCGGAAAACGGTTTAAAAAACGCTGTTTAGAATGTTTTATTGGGCGTTATAAACTGATGGACATTTGTTATTCTTATGAAAAACAAAAGCGCAGCCAACATTATTTTGATTTTTTTAAATAGCAATGCAAATCCTTTTTGGGTTCGTATAAGATTTTTTTTTAATTTTCAATTAAGCTTTAGGTTTGTATAAAAATTAAACTCTTAGCAATTTCTATACCGATGTTGACGTAACAAAACTCAAATAGCACTCGTAGCTATACAACGAGCCTCCCAACGAGCTATACATTATCCGTTGGAAGTTCTCGTTCTTATCTTTCTAGCTGCGAAGCTATATACCTATGTAGGAACACGGCTTGCAACGAAAAGCAACAACTACCGTAATCTTTGAACATGTATCAGTTTTAGCAAGATATACATTTATCCAAAAAGTGGTGTGCACCCTTCCAATCACTTTCCGAAGGCATGATTTCAGATCTTCAGCACACTAAACACTGTATAAGGCCAAAAAGACTTTTCGTTCAACATTGACACGATCCTATTCCGGAAGTCGCTCGCATCTTAAGAAAAACATAGATTGTAGATCCACACAAGGTGTGCTGTGGACCGGCAATCTTTCCTGACGAAAGATACTTATACTATGCTACTACATTCTTATTTTTTTATGGGCACCATTTTAAACCAAGAAAGAAAGGAAAAACTAGAAATTAATTCGTTAGTTATAAAATTAAGAAAAAAGGTCCGATTTGATTTGCCTCGAGCGCTAAGTTGGGGTGTAACCTTTCGTGATTCATTTCATATTGTATTCAATCTTTTTCGATGGGGCAGATGGCACTGTTCAAAACTTTTTACGAGTGCTACGTTGCCAGTTTTATATGTAAATACAACATAAGTACCTACAGAATAACAAACCGATTAGGTGCAATGTGCATTATTACATTAAAGTGATCTACGTACTTGTTTAAAAAAGGCATATTCGTGTTTGCCGCTACTCATTTTTATTTGTCTCTTTATCAGTTCCTTACATTTAGCAATTTCTCCTCGAACGTAATACAAATGAATTAGCCAGTTCAACTGCTCTAATGGATTGGAATCAAAAGTCGCGGTTGCCATTTTCTTATCTTTCCCTAAAACAATCGAACATGAGTGTCGCGACGTCGACGTCGAAATTTGCGAGCACACCAACTGAAGTAACCTGCTTCCCGTTTGCCACATAACTCATTATAAAATCCACCTTTTTTTCACCTTACAGGTTTATTGAAAATTGTTATGGATAATGATTTGTGGTTTTGTATACCGCCACGTTGCGTAGCAACGAGATTGACGTCATAGCTGTCAGATGGCTGCTAATTGTCAAACATAGATTTATCTAATGACCCGTTAATTTGTTGTTTACTGTTCGCGTAGTTGCTATAATAAGAGGCTTGCTTTATTTTCTATGGGTTCCACGCTATAAGTAATTATTTTCGCCAAAAAAAAGTTTAGGAATTATGTTTAGTAAGAAGGGATTATGTGCGGGTTTTTATTGTTACTTGTCACCTACTCATTTATTTAGATAAGTTTGTTGTAAATTATGTAATTTTGTACCATGGAAGAAGTTAGTTTTAGTTCTGTACTAACGAAGACACAACGTCTTGTGCTCGGACTGTTTGTTTTATTACTGGTTGATATTATTTGGGTGTCTTCCTCCGAACTTACAAAGGTAAGGTATTTGTCAGTGGTCCCATAAGCTCACAGTTCACATTTCTTTCTAGTATATTTACCATAATGAAGCATTTGAAAAACCATTTTTTAGTACATATGTTAAAACTTCGATGTTTACTTTGTACTTATTAGGCTTCTGTTTTTGGCCACCGTGGCGAGAGCACTGTACTAGTAAGCCTAACAATTATATGGTAAGTAGCTGTAAAACTGCAAAGTAGGTTTATTTGCTACCTTCATTTTTTCAGTTTATTGATCCCAATCAAGAAGACGAGAATTTTTATTCGGATTCTGTTTCTAGTTTGGTACGTAATAGAATAAGGAGGCATGCAACTTTCCCCCGGTCTTGTTATGTTAAATTGCTATGTGAATCATTTGCATATGTTTACTTTGCTCTGTTTCTCAATGTAATTATAATACTACGTAGAAGTTATCTCGGAAGTTATATTCTCAGTAAGCTACAGTAGCAGTAGTAAGCATATGGTATAGCTTTCAGAAAAGCGGAAAATTGGGTTGGTGGGTTGCATGTCATGCAATGCTTTTAGGGGTAGACAGGTCGTTGCAATTACACTGCTTTTGATTGTATTTACCCTACTGTAAAGATTTAATTTTGTGTTTGGTGTAATAGGTATGTTATACCAGTGGTATCAACTAGAGTGCCAAACTTAGCAAACACTTTAGGTGTACCTAATAAGTAATAATATTGTATGTGTATTTGATCTTGTCAACTGATCAACATCTTCTGTACAGCCAAAAAAACAACAATGTTACAAGGACAAATCACAAGGGAAGGTTTATTACCTACTATTGCTTTTCCACCTAACCCTTAAAGAATAATAACAAAATACGCAGTTATCGACGTTTAGTACAGTCAAATTAGATCAAATTTCCACGAATAGGGGAAGTAATTGAAAGAAAGCTGAAAATTGGTATAGAGGTACATTATTAGGGCTTATACTCGAACATACTAAAAGTCGGGGCCGAAACTCCTAGAGCTCGAGCCGCCATCTTGGAAAAAAGGTACTCCAAATCACTTTTTCGCTGATATCTCGGTAGTCGTCCATTCTAGCAAGTAAAGTTTCATATAAAAAAGAAAGATAATAAAATTTTGTATAAAAAAGATGGTATGCACTTTTTTTGTATTTTCGATATTTACGTCGATATTCCACATTGAATATAGAGCATAATCTTTTTTCAGATGTAGGTGCATTACTTTCAGCACTCGCGTGCTTTAAACATGAATATGTTTAAAAAATTGATATAGTTGACATTTTAGGGCATGTTGACCAGTGAAGAGAAGGGCAGTTTTATCTAAAATTAAACACTTACGACATATCGTACTCACTCAACAGATGTGTGTTTTGTATTTCTCGTTAATACAATCACTGTTAATGTATGGAATTGTTGGCTGGGGGTATTTTATGCTAGTGAATCCTTAAACAGCCTTATACAGGGTGGTGCTTAGCACGACGCAGCACAAGGAGTCAATGGTAATTTCTTTATAGTCAATTACTAGCTCCCCTAATTATTTTAGAGCAAAAGTCTAAAGAAGTTTTTGTAGAGAAAAAAATACTGCATCTGTTCATACGATTACTTATAATTTTCCGTTTTTCAAAACCGTAGAAATTAACAAAATAAAAAGGTTCATTTTTCAATAAAACAGATATGCCTTGGAATTACCTAAAAAATCAGCGATCACGTTTCATTATTTGCCTTTGACGTTTATTAAATTTATACTTGTTTATAAATTAGTTCGGCTCGAGTTTTGGTCCCGACTTTTAGTATGTTCGAATACAAGCCCTAATGTACCTCTATACCAATTTTCAGCTTTCTTTCAATTATTTCCGCTATTTTTCCTAATTTGACTGGCCTAGTTATCAATAAACAAAAATCCTCTATGGTGCAAACTTTACTGTATGTATATCACAGGACTAAAGTGCATCATATAATTTGTGATCACTGTATGGCCACACTGTCAGTATAAATCCACTGTATACATGTTACTAACAGTGTGACTATGTTTCCTATTGACTGCGCCATGTTTACTCCAGATTTGAATATAAAAACATGGGAGTTAAGCCAGTTAAGTATGTATTTTTAAAATCAAGTCAGTCGATGATAATCTGTACCTTCGTAATCGTTTGACTGATTTGCGCGCCAAATGGGTACTCTTTTTCCATTGGTCAATATCTTCGGTCAACTACGAACTGCCAGCGCGAACGCGGGCGACTAAAAAAAATTGCCATCACTAATCGTAGACATTATTTTACAGAGTAACCCCACTTACGTTCCTGTCAAGACGCTCGATAGAGAACATTTCGATAGGAGTTCGGGAACTGAAAGTGATGATTCTTCCATTCGTTCCGTACGCTTCAATAAATTAGCGGAAGTGCGTCATATGGCCGAGTCGGAAGCGGGCGAGGCTCTTCTGGCGAGACTTTCGTATCAAGCCAGCGTTCGTGCGGGCGAAGTAGCTAGAAAAGCGGCCACCAAGCTACCAGTGCATAAAGTCGCGCGGATAGCGTTTATATTTTGCATTTTGGTGCCTAATCACATTTTTTTACTAAAATTGTGTGATTTACTTTTTGATTTTAGTGGTTTTTGGCAAACTACAGTTACCAACTGGCTTTGGCGAAAACCGAAGCTGGGATGGTGAACCTACTGTCTTCCAGTTCTAGTCTATTTACTCTTATACTATCTGCGTTATTTCCATCAAACCACGCCGATCGTTTTACCATTTCAAAGTTGGTGGCAGTATCGATGTCTATTAGTGGTTTGGTAGCTAATCTATCATTGCTCGCCGCTTAATAATCAAATGAGTGTTTTTCAGGCCTTAGTAAGTTTATCCGATTTAAAGTTAGAATCTCATTTTCCATTTGGTGCTGCATTATCCTTAGTAAGCGCGTTTGCGTATGCGACGTATTTGGTATTTTTAAGGCGGAAAGTCGATGATGAAGACAAGATGGATATTCCTTTATTTTTTGGTAAGCATATATTACAATACTTTAAAAGGTCATTTTTTAATACAATTCTATTATACAGTGTGAGTTGTATAATAAATACATTTCAAAAAGTTACAAATATATTCGCATTTTTAAAGTATTAAGGCATATTATAGCAAAGTGTTGCAAATGTGGTCGGTCCTTCAGCCAAGGTATAAATATGTCTGTGTAAAACAGTCAAGATTGCGTAAATATTAATAACCCAAAATATGAGTAAAAGTTGATAAATGTCACCAATAGCAATAACAGTCTATCTACACTTTTAGGTTTCGTTGGACTATTTAATTTAATATTACTCTGGCCATTATTTTTCCTTCTCCATTATAACAATTGGGAAAATTTCGAATGGCCCACAAAACATCAATGGCTCTTTTTAATTTTAAACGGATTAGTAGGAACTGTAGTGTCGGAGGCGTTATGGCTATGGTTAGTATGTTAGTGAAATACCAACGGTGTAATCTAACTTTATTGTTTGTAGGGGCTGTTTTTTAACCTCGTCATTAATTGCCACGATAGCTATAAGTTTAACAATTCCTTTAACAATGCTTGCAGATGTCATGCTAAAAAAAGTTTCGTACCCGTGTCTTTTTTACGCAGGAACAGTTCCAATTCTAATAGCATTTTTATCGGTTGCAATTCTCGCGCATTACGAAAACTGGGACCCCGTCTTTGATATACTTCGTTGTGCCTACCACAATATTTGTCGACGAGCAAAATTTGTGCGGTAAGTTTGCTTCTAGTTTTATGAATCGTTAAATGTTACATTGCAGTTATAGGTTGCCCGAGTTGCAATCTGAACAGACGGAAGCACTGATTAGTATTAATAATAATGAACATGAAGCTTGAATCGGCCATCGCATTCCAGCTAAGTATTATAATGTTTATTTTGGTCACGAATTATTCTATAATGCACATAGGCTGGAAAGTTACAAAAATTAATAAATAATACAAATACTCGAGTGCTGTTATTTTGTTATGATCTCTTGCACTGTAGACTCTTGCTTAAAATTTAAATTTATGAGGCAATTTTAACATTAATTCGATGTGCATCCACATAACAGAGTAATAGCACCATACTATTATATTGATTTGTTAAATTTTTATGTTATAAACATTTATAGGTTATTATTGACAGATAAGGCTGTGACTTAGCATATTTAGACTCGTTCTTGTTTTATCGTCTTATTTTATTCTTACTTATACTTACAAAGTATTTTAAGCTAAGCTCATTATTTTAACAAAAAAACAACCTAGGTGTCGTAGAAGATAGCAGACAATTGAATTCTGTGCGACTTTGATTTTTATCGAAGTAGTAAATTTATAAAATATGATCAAAACTGTGAATTAATTGTATGTATTGCCATTTTCAAAACGGAAGGGAGTGTGTAGAAACCATCTATTAAGTTTATACAATTCAGTCCGTAGCACTTTCATAAATAAAATTTTCTATTTCAGTCCACATTATTCTAGGCTATGCCGTGCAAATTTACAAACCCAATCTAATCGTTTATTAATTACTGAATCATGTATCATAAGAAAGGTCCTTATTGTATTGTAAAACACAAAGTAATTCTGTTTATGGTCGATGCAATTTGTAAGGGAGATGTCAAGCTATCAGAAGTCCACTAGTGAAGTTTTATGATGTTTTTTTACGAAAATGACGATTGTACACATTTATTTCAAAACGCAAGGGTAGTAAATTGCTCACAAAAAACTCTTATCTATCTAAACATTTACCAATTATGAGACAAACATTGGAAAAACGGTTATTAGAGAACTTCAGACTAAATGTATTACTATTTTAAAATGTGAACAGCATTATCTTACATTATCTTCATAGTTTTAGAACCACTTATAGAGAAAATGATTTTAAAAGTAGTTGCGTTTTATAGACATTTCCTATAGGCTCGCCCAGAGTAACTATATTTTATATTACTGCGACTATTTCAAGAACAGAATTGTTTAAAAAGGAATAAGTTCCAGTGTAGATACATATATATCAGTGCTATACCTTAGATGTTTCCCATAATTTTGCACATGCTTTAAATTTTCACAATATAAACAATATTGGTACGCAACAAAGTACACTGCCAGTCCTGCCACATTCTAAACAGTTGCTTTTATGATCGTTTCCCGATCTTTGAACATTTTTTCATATTCTATATATTGGTCTGCTGGTTTTTATACTGTGTCACAATACACATCAGGAAAGAACTCGACTATTGAGCATTGAATATGTTATACAGTCCTTTCAATTCAAAACGCTTACCCGCAAGACTTGGACTTTGATGCTAAGCTGATAGTATATGTATATGCAAGGGTGCAATTTACAGCGCAGTAAAGACTAGGCACCCTGTATTACCATTTTTATTACATTTTTCCGCCGCTCGTTAGGAAGTGAATCCGGAAATGAATAAGGGATTATTATTAATAAAAGGCTAAATCAAATTGCATTATTTCAACATGTCCAAAGAATGTGAGAAACTGACTTACATTATACAGGGTGGTTCATTTTTGATTGTGATATTCAGGAAACTAATTTCATAAAATTTGGTTCCTATTGACAACCTAGGTTCCTGGACGCCAAGTCGTAATTGCGCGGTAATCCGCGAAAGGCTATCTTTTCTCAAAGTAATAATAGTCCTTGTAGTTTAACTTTTTTTTAAACATAAGCGGATATTTGATGTAATTCTAAGGCTTATTTAAAGCTTTTATGTAGACTGAACACTGTTTTCTTGTTAATGCCTTTTTCTTCCACAATGGTTGCCATGTCCATTGAACTGTCAAGCATGCTAAATCGCAAATTCAAGTGAAAACAATTTAAAAGAATGTAGATGCCAAATTCATCTATACAGGGTCCCCGTTCTTCCTTATTATTTTACATACAAATATTTTGTGCGACATTCAGCATACCTTAGTATGAGGGGAAGGTTTTAATCGATTACGGATTTTTTTTGTTAAACACACTACAACCTGTATAGTACTGGAAAGTTTGTCCTACAAGAATGAGATCATCATGGCACCACTTTTAATTAAATTTTCACATTTTATGCTCACGACTTAAAGTACCTAAATTTCAAAAACTGCCACTACCAATACTTTAATTGTATAATCTAAGGTGCTGATTGTTTAAAACGGTTATTAACAACAACTTAATATAAAAACTTAATTCAAAACTAGTGACGTTCTGTACAGTAGTTTAAAACTAAAGTTTAAAATATAATCGTAAACTTTCAAAATAAAAATATTAGGAATGTTTAGCATAGTTTAGTTATAGTAAAAAACAATGTTGATCTCTATAAAGTATTGTCTCGTGTTATTCCGCAATGTAAAAGACCACTGCGATCTTTAATTTTAGTTACTTTATTTTCAAACCTTGTTCGTACAGTTATCTGTGTAAACTAACATTAAAATCAAACTACAAATGGGACACAATAAAGTTGCTTTTGCAATTTTAGCAAGTAAAAACTTTCATTGATGTGTAGATCCGACAAATGTGTACATTATATAAAAAATCTACTATTTTTAATACGTGTTAAGGAATTGTGAAGAGTAGTGTATCTAAGATATATATTTTACAATATGTAGATAGTTTGATTCAATATTGTGATTACATTCTATAACAGAATATACAATATTCTTAATGAGTTCTAATTCTTTCCATATTTAGATGTACGTACAATACAACATTGCTAAATTACAACTCTAATGCAAATTAAATTTGATCTCACCAAAAGCCCAAACCAAAGGAACAGTGTATGTAAGATATATGGATGGAAGTTTTTAGGTGCACAATAAATGCATCCTGATCTAGTGGTTATATCGCTCTAAACGCGAAGAGGGGTTGATTTCCAGTCATGGCAGACCATGTTTGGTTTTGTCTGTGGTTTGGATTTTGAGTGAACGGTGAGTTCGTGTCTACACACATCAAGGACTATTTGTACTGCCACCATGATAGAGTCGTTCGCCTCCTGCGTCACTCAAGCCACCCCATGCTTGATGCCAACTTAGGGATACCTGCATGTGAAGCGGCTTATAATCTTGGCTATGCTCGCCCATCTATCTCATTTCACCCAAAAGACAGGACTTGCCGGAGACAGAGCTGGGCAGTATTCGATTTTGTAAATCCTTTTTAGTATTCATATCCTTTAAAGTATTCAAATACTTTGTAATTAAATACTTTTATGGAAGCAGTATTTGTAACTCAAATACTTTCACAAATATTTAGTATTCGAATACTTCGCAAAGTATTCGAATACTTCGCAAGGTATTTGAATACTTTGAGAAGTATTCTACTTGGCATAGTATACTTAACCTTCCTTTTTTACCAAAAATCGACTACACCAAAATTTCTCGGGAAAACACTTTTTCTTATTAATTTTGGTGCGTAGAATCCAAAACAATTCGTACTTTTTCGATCAGACTTCTCAATCAAAAGTTATAGACTAGAAACCAATTTCGAAAGAAAATTCAAAGGGCTGTAACTTTTGACTAGTAGCCCAATCTTGGAACTGTTTGAAATTATGGATTCTACAGGCCACATTCTATAAGAAAATTTTTTTTCCGGGTCGATCTGAGAATTTTTTTTTCGGGGCTCAAAAAAAGGCAGTGTATAACCTTCCTTTTTTACCAAAAATCGACTACACCAAAATTTCTCGGGAAAACACTTTTTCTTATTAATTTTGGTGCGTAGATTCCAAAACAATTCGCACTTTTTCGATCAGATCAGAAACCAATTTCGAAAGAAAATTCAAAGGGCTGTAACTTTTGAAATAGTAGCCCAATCTTGGAACTGTTTGAAATTATGGATTCTACAGGCCACATTCTATAAGAAAAATTTTTTTCCCGTTGATCTGAGACCATTTTTTTTCGGGGCAAAACCAAAAATCGACTGCACCAAAATTTCTCGGGAAAACACTTTTTCTTATTAATTTTGGTGCGTAGATTCCAAAACAATTCGTACTTTTTCGATCAGACTTCTCAATCAAAAGTTATAGACTAGAAACCAATTTCGAAAGAAAATTCAAAGGGCTGTAACTTTTGAACTAGTAGCCCAATCTTGGAACTGTTTGAAATTATGGATTCTACAGGCCACATTCTATAAGAAAATTTTTTTTCCGGATCGATCTGAGAAAATTTTTTTTTCGAGCCTCAAAAAAAGGCAGTGTATAACCTTCCTTTTTTACCAAAAATCGACTACACCAAAATTTCTCGGGAAAACACTTTTTCTTATTAATTTTGGTGCGTAGAAACCAAAACAATTCGTACTTTTTCGATTGGACTTCTCAATCAAAAGTTATAGTCTAGAAACCAATTTCTACAGGCCACATTCTATAAGAAAAATTTTTTTTCCGGGTCGATCGGAGAAAATTTTTTTTCGAGCCTCAAAAAAAGGCAGTGTATATATAACCTTCCTTTTTTACCAAAAATCGACTACACCAAAATTTCTCGGAAAAACACTTTTTCTTAATCTGAGACAATTTTTTTTTTCGGCTAGATTCTTTACACTTAGCTCTGGAGGCAGAGGCTCGGAAGGCTTCGTTGGGCTGGACCTACCCTAGGAATTGCTCCTTCCGTGTTCTAAGGGTCAGGATTAAAGACTGGGTGTAATTGCAGGCTCAGTGGCAGCAAGCAACCTGACTCAGACAGTCCAAGGCCCCTTCGCAAATCTGGGTCTTCTAAAACTGAATAGATCACTGGTATCCTTATGGGGCACTGGATGTTCAACTATAACCTCATAACATTCCCACGTGCAGGTTCTGTGGCAAGGCATATGAAACGAGCGTTCATGTAAACTATCACTGTGACGCCAGCTCCTTAGCGACAGCTATCTCGAACTGGGAAGGGTAAAGCAACTTAGACTAAACAGGGTCCTATCCGTTATTGAGAGGAATGGGCTCTGAACCTAGTTGCGAAAAAAGGGGGGGTACACACAATGGGCCTTTGGTGTGCCTAAGTGCTGCCCACCACCCTGTTGATAGAATGGCCTTTTCACACGAACCACTCTGTGGCGCTACTGAGTAGTGCGCGCTGTTTCGTTTGCGACACACCACATGCAAGTCACCAACCAACAGGACAGATGTCTTCAGTTCACAATGAGTTGTTGAGGTGGAGCGTTTCAGCGGTAGTCGACCACTACCTGCCACCGTGGTGCTTCTAAATTGGTGGTCGCATTTACTTGAATAGCTCCATATCAAACAATGTTTCACTTGGAAGCGCTACAAAGTGGTCCGTGTGAAAAGGCTATAATCTGAATCTTTTTCAATTAAATTTCCACGTTCGATTTCATTTTCCTCTACATATCTCTAAGCCATCAAACACAAATTTTGTATGTAAAGAACTACGATTTTTGTCACTTACATCGTAATATAAGGTTTAATAACCTAGTTTCATTATCAATTTGCGTCAATCATCATATAAATAGCGTCATATCCCCACGCCTATGATATAGAGAAGTGGCCAATTGAAAAGATAAAAGAAAAATTAGCAGCACTTTATATGTATAATAACTACATGATCAGTACCTATAAATAATTTAAATTTACAACAATCGGATCAATAAAAATTACCCTTCTCTCGACATAATAATAATTATGCATACTTTATATTAAAATATTGTCTAAATTGCTTTTCAGTTTGAGCTTAGAATATCGTTCATTCATATAATAAATAATAAATATAGAACCATACTTTTTAGCTTAATTTACAATAATTGTTTAGATGGGGGGTTAAAACAATTATTTTAAATGAAATAAAGATCATACATTGTACATTTCATCGTACTCGCTCTCAACCCAATCATAATCTCAGTTCCTTTAGCTACGTATATGTTAAAGATTGTTTTGTGTATTCTACCTAACCAAAAATTAACGGAATGCAGTTAGAAAGTGTAGTACAAAATACATCATATTATACATATTTGTTTACAGTTTTATATTAAAAATAGAAATTAATTTTACTTTTTTACTTTACACCTCTTATTGATAAAGTGGAAATGAAGGCATTAATGTTGTTCTTCAGATCTTTCTGTGTCTCCATAAAATTTTGGCTGAAAAAAAATAAGTGTGTTAATTCCTTACCATAATTAGTATAAATTGGTAATATTGCTTTTAAGGATGGAAGCGGTTAGCGAATTATGATAATTTTTATATCAATAAACGATAACAGACAAGTTAATAGTGAGTCACCATTATCTCCGAACCTCTATCATTGAGATAATGTGGCAAAATAAAGTGGAATTTAATCACAATTTTGAAAACGTGTATCCGTATAGAGGTCACAAGTAATTTAATGTTTGATTATACCCCGTTGGATGTACTCCCTACCACTCTGAATCAATTCGAGGATAGAAAATTTAAGAGCTTTTTGATGTGACAATTTTAGAGGTCGTTTACTTGGATTCAGCTCCTCCATCGACTTAAATTGCTAACGTAAATTTACGAGTTATTTAAGACCTTCAAGAGATTTAATTAATTTTTGAGCTCCTAATTATTTTTCGTAAAGAGGAGGAGGCCCAACAAGATATTGATTACATGTTTTAGATAGAAGTAGAAAAAAATATATAAGATGATCAAAAGGTATCTCTTTTCTGCGCCTTGTATACTAGATTCAATTAAAGCTTGTACATCTGTTATGAGCATGTGAAAACTTGATGTTGTAAATGTTAGATCGATAGAAATTATTATTTGCAGCACACACAATATTCACACAACTTACATATCACCACACATAACCAAGACAATGACTTTGAAACTGAAAATTAACGTAAGGTATTACATTATCTGCACCAAATAGCAACAAAAAACTACCTACCAAATCATGAGATTCGGGTGGACCTTTAGTATTCTCGTCGTCATCATCTGAATCATCCTCTCCGGATGTGTCTGCATTCCCCGCACGTTCTCTCTCTGCAAATTACGAGTAAAAAATGTTTCTTATACCACCAAATCACCTTTAATCGAGTCATTATTCGAATTATGATGTTTCGCCGTGATTAGAGTATCATAACAATGTAAACAAACACGCAGCGGTTTCGAACTTTGATTAGGTAATAGAAAGCGCTTGTTCGAACATGGACCACATACGACCGCCCCACACTTGCGACAATGATGCTAAAATTTTTGAAACTTAGAAATGTGAAACTGCTCTGAGGCACTTACTCGTCTGTTGATTAATGTGAACTGAGTTTTCTTGCAATGCATACAAAATGGTGCTTCTCCATCAGGTACCCAAACAGCTGCGTGTTCTTCCGCTGCCTTTTTTCCACCTACACAAGTTTTGTTATTGGCATTAGAGTGCGAAGGGTTACAGGGGCCACAAAGATTTTTTTGGTACTCAGCCTCTAATCTTCCAAGTTAAAACTTCAAATTTAGTGTTAAATGTTTTAATTCTGAATTCAGACTTCAAACTCGAGATTTAGTGTGAATGTAGATGTTAGTAAACCCTAACTTCATAGTCCAAATTCGCAAACGCATTTCTAGAATCCTTCATGGGCGTTTTAGACTGTCCATTTAAAAGGGATGCTTTCTATCAGGGCTAGCATAAAAACAACTAGTATTCTAAACGTAAAATGTATTTCCTCACAATCGTCATGAAACCTTCATTTTTATGCTTCCGTTATGTCAGGAAATTTTAGTTTCCATGACAGCAGCAGTAACACTTTACCTGGCTACTTCTCCTACCCCCGTCATTTTACCAGATTCCTGTGCAAACTGACACATTAATATTAATAAAAAATTAAAATTATATATAAAAAAGACAATTTCAGGAATAATATAATACAAATCCCATCAGTAAAATGACACTACTTGAAATTAAAGTACTTTCCCCCTTCCTCGCCACTAATGAGTCTTTTTCCTGTAAATACAGTCTAGTAATTGCCGATTTATCAGACTCGATTACGGATAAAGTTTTGTAGAGTTGAATAAGGAAGCAGTGTAGTACATTGAGGCCTTGTGTTAAACTTTTCTTTTTATTAAAAATTAAAAGCTTCTACCGTCCAAACAGCCACCGAAAAATTTGTCATTTTATTAATCAAGGCAGTTTTGTTTATCAGCTAATTCTGTTGTAAAGCAAAGTGAAGTTCATAAGCTGTCAGCGTTTGTGTGTGAGTTAAGTGCGCCTTATATCGCAAATCTTGTACGGCCAGATTACTTTGATTATTCAGAAAAAAGTAATTTTAAGATCTCTTATTTTATTTGTCGACCGTCTGCGCGCGGGGTAATATGTCCAAACAAGGTTTGTAAGCTTTTTTACCACCCCGCACGTTAGTAAGGGAGGTATTGCATGATGGTGGTATCTGTGCTAACTGCAGCAAATTTTTTTTCTTGCATATGGTTTTTGTCTTTTGAAATACATTTTTGTCAATCAATTAATTGTGTTTATTGGAATCCATTGTGCCACCCAGATAGAGTTTTAATGGCAAATTTGTTTCTATTCAAGGTAAGAATAATTTCAGGTGTTAATCAAAAGTGCAATGTGCAATAAATCCTTTGGAATTTTTGGAAATTGATCAAAGCCATCGAGTCTCTCCAATTGACAAATTTTAAGACATTTTAGGATTTTTCTTCTAGCAGATGCCGGATGTGTAGAGGAGAAATGAGAAAATTCTGTTTCAAATTTGATGAGCTAGTTGGTCAGGTATTTTGTGGGTGGTGTTGTGACTAGTGATCACATACCATGGCACACAGCAATACATACCAATTTATCATATTTAATCAGTATAAACGTCGAGTGAAGGATCTAGGTGCAATACTTATATATAAAAGAATAGTAAACGAGCCTATATAGGCGGTCAAGAGTGATCTCAGACCCCAATGGTAACAACTAACTCGGAGCTCCAGATCCGGATTGCATTATCTAAATCTGCATACTTTCCCATCCTTGTCTATTTTCTTTACTTTACCATGAGCATGTATTTTCCTCTTTCTATACGTTTTCTTGTTATTATTCTTATTAGTGGAAAGAAAATTATATCTCTACGCGAGAGAGCGTGAGACGCTAATGATAACGGAAGCGGTGTGGTATTTTAATCACAGCCAGAGGCCACTTTTGAGACCCATGGGCTATGTCTGGCCAAGCATTTGATTCCCTCCATTAGTTTTCTAACTCAATGGGATACTCTAATCATTCATTGCTATTATTTGGCCTTCAATACCGGGCTCTTCATGCCATTACAGGAACTCTACAGAGGGAGATATGGGCCAATTATTACAGCCTTGCTTTTTAAACAAATTAGATATTCAAAATTAAAATGAAAATACTTTTTAAAAAAGTTTTTACGATTTATATGAGGTCTTAAACTGCCAATGGTTCTCATCTGATTTTAAACCAAGTTATTGTTTAACTGGTACAACCGTTTGTTCTTTCTCTTATTTCAAAAATAATGTTTTAACCAAACTTTTTTCGTATGGCAACAATAAAGATTATTATTATTATTATTATTGAAGTAATCAAATCTTCCTCTACAATATTTGGTTGCTAGCCTTACCTTTCTAAACAGCCAAATGCACAAAATGATTACAGCTGCATATTTTCAGAATACACCCTAGAAAATGGTCATGGATTTTTTATTTCTTTCAATTATGCGAATGAATATGTTGTGTAACATAGGAGGTAATATACTTACGCCTTTAAAGAAAATTGCAAAATTTTACCAAAGGGGAAACATCACCATAAAAACATCCCCTCTTCCTTATTTTCCTTAACATTTTTAAATAAAGGCAGTTTAGAGCAAGAAGCTGTTAACATAACAACTGTGGATTCAATTTTGAACCATGAAGTTAGACTTTCAAGTCTCAGGTTGGACCTTAAACTATACATTCGGAGAACTTCGAAAAATCTTCATGAGCCCCTTCTAAACTCGAATTTAAAAAACTCACTTTTCCTAAGTAAATCTTCTATACACTTGTTGATATGTGCAGTCCACTCCTGTTTTTCAGTGGGTGTGGCCGCATAAACAGCAAAAGATTTCGAAGCCGTCCTGATTAACCATCCGTTACGATACTCTGCAACAACTAATATCAACCACATACTATACTACCGAAACTTTAAATCTAGAACTAACGTCCGTCATCTTCCAAACTTTCGAGCTTGACTTCCTCCAATGGTATTATGTGTTGCTTATTATACTTCTTTTTATTTATCACTATATTGCCGTACACTAAAATATCATTGAACAGAAAAAATTGACGGGGTTTCGGTTTCTTTCTGCACATCTTTGTGAGAACGCCTTCGCCAACCAACACTCTTCCTTGTACACCAAGTGGCTATAAAAGTCGAGGTTAAAAAGGGCATAATTGTGTTGTGTAGAGAACGTACCTGACCCGAACTGCCGAAACAGCTCTCAACCATCGCAATTCTGCGAGAATTTGCCTCGCTGTTTACTAAAACAGACATTATTTAAAAAGGCAGCTATCACTATCAGTCAAAGCACAAAGTATGAATCATACTCTTCTATGAGTCTTCCTTGAGGTCATAAATAAACATTGGGAACTATTATTGCAAAACAAACAGATTTAAGAGACGATAATTGTGTATTCTCGAAGTAAAACGTGTCAGGAAAAGAAATAGACCACAGAATCTTAAATAGACCATTAAATTTCTCGAAGTGACGTACGTTCTAACCTATCGAAATGGTTTTTATATACTCAATCAAATAATTTCCAAACCAGATTTCGAATGGGTCGGTGATCGTTAGACACTTTATTAAATTTATTTTAAATTTAAAGTGAAATTACATACCTAATCTATCCACCATTTTGAGTTTTTGACTGTTAAATATTTTATTTGTACTTCGCACTTGTGATACGTACGAAGTGAGACCCAAAACGAGTGCATGACAAAATTTTGATTTGCTCTCCAGTGCCGTGCGTTTTTGAACAATAAATAGGGTGTAGCACATCCAACAAAAGTTCAGTCAAAGAATCGAAGACTCAAAGCAGGTGTATAGAATGCCTATGTTGTGGTCAAAGGCTAAGGGAAATTTGTTTAGGATGGTCCGAAGGTCTAATTCAACTTCATAGTTCAAAGAGTCGATGATTTAAATTCAAAACTTATCAAATGTTCACATAATAATAATAAGCTTTATTTTTGATAATGTTTACATATGGCATCATATACAAGACGTACACATAAACATTAAGACAAATGGAATCGAAAGAGGTGTTATCTGAAATTCTACTGTTCAAACCATTGAATTTATAACTATCGTTCAAACCATACTGAAAATTTACCGTACACCACTGTACTTCATGTGAACTACTCTCGAGTCTCGACACAAACGTGCAAGAGAACTACTGAATAAAGTGAAGGACAGAAGTGAATTTTATCACATGATTTGAAGGTGGTGGTTCAAGTCGTTTATTTAATTGTAGTTAATTCCTTAAATTATATTTAAAAGAAAATGGCAATCTGTGGACACAAATTATCCCTTTGTGGGTTAATCCTAAGTGTTTGGGGCATCATACAGCTGGTAATTTTTACTTTATCAAAACCTCATTCTCATCTCTTACTTTTTCAGTCTCTAATGGGTATATTTTATTATATTCGATCGGTAGCGCTATTTGAAGACGTTCCTGGATTGGAACACGAAGGTACATTTGATTCAATACAGAAATTTTACGACGATGCAGATCAAGGGTACCTACAGGTCAGTAATCGAGTTACATTGGAACCGAAATCCTAACAAGGTATTATTACATTTCAGAACGCATACAACTGTTGGATTGCAGCATGTTTGTATATTATAACATTGGCATTCTCGGGACATCAGTTCTGGGTCAATAGTCGTTCATCTTTACGAGTATAAGAAACGTACTTGTGGTTTATTTGTTGTATATATTGTAGTTAATGTCGTTAACTTCTCTCATAAGTAAATATCATTCCTATAAATGCTGCACAAATATTTTGCGATTCTTTAGAATTGTATATTATGTGAATTACAGTCGAAGTAGTGTATAAATTGGTATTATTTAAATGTTTAATTAGATATAGCGCGGGTTGTTGGTACCTACAATGTGATACCTTCTGTGTATAAATGTCTTAAACTCCTTTCGTTTAATTTCATAGACTATGACTGTTGTTCCGCAAAGCTACCCGACCATCGCTACTATCGTGAATATAGTGAAATCTCTCCAGGGATATAATTAGGCTACGGTTGGATGAATGAAGCCGATTTTTTGTACAGAGTAATGAGAGGTACTGCCAATGACTAGGACAGTGTCTTTTTAAAATTTTTTCTCTAATTATAACATATAATAAAATTATGAGCATTCTCGTTCAGTGGATTTCGAACTTGCTCACTTACTATGAGTAGTGGGGAACCTATGCTCTACATTCATTCCCCTCCGAGCGTTGCACTGGTTTTGTGATCGTTGGCGCTTGTAGTATTCGACTTACCCTACTACTGGGCCTAAAGAAGTTTCACTTTAAAAAAGATGCGTATTTTAGCTATTAATAAAATGAGTATTTAAAATATAAATAAAATATTCCCCTGTACAATAAACATCAGCTTGGACTTAACACCCTTTCAGGGACCGCCTCTCAAGTCCCGCCGACTTACAGGACGAAGTCGATCTTACCAACTCAATTATGTGGAATTATTTAAACAGGCATGTTCCCCGAGGACTACCAAGGCGCCTTATAACCATCCCTGGTGATACAGGGCGCTCGAAAAGCAGAAAACTCAGTTGGGAAACTGTTTAATAAGGCAAAGCCATTATAGAATTTCCACATCACCCACCAGTAGGCAAACTTTCCATTCAGAGTTGGTAGGACTAACGCTTAGTGAAAGAAAAGTTCTTATGCGTAACATAAAGAACAAAATCTTCAGTCACAGCAGGGTTGCCCTGCAAGCATTTGGTCACTGTAAAGTTGGTTTCGAATATCACCATGCAATCAAGCATCAGGCAACGGAATATAATGAAACACTGATCAGTTAACCAGACGTCCCTCAAAGCAGGTGTTTTATATTAAACCCAACACAGACCTAGGTAGGACAGGATCTTAGATGTAGCCATGCGAGAGAAGCCACGATCCATGTTAGAAATATCCTGGTCAGACATGACTACGATTAGAGCAGCTACTCCTTGTAGCATCCTTAGGTTCATCTCACGTGTGGGATGACTTGAATGACGTTAAGAGGTTGGGCGACTCTAGTCAGACACATAGTACAAAGAGCCCAAATTCAAGGCCTAGGTATGTGTGCTCCCTGTCCACCCTCTATCGTAATCCAGAATCCAGATCTGTGACGTGACCAAAAATTTGACCAGCGACTTGGTATAACCCTAAATGGAAATGTCCTCACCTAATTTTAAACCAATTATTTTTATGGAATAAAAAGGTGTCTTTTTACCACCCGCACGTAAGTAACGAAGGTATTGTGCTGTTGCATTGGAGTAAAAATTGACACCCCACTTTTTTGACGGAAATACATCAATTTTTTAACTATCCATTTAAATATTGCATGCTGGGAGTGTTAGTAAAGTTTTTTTTTGTCAACAGTTTGATGCCTACTTTTAATTAATTAATTGATGTAGTATATTTGTCTGTGCACTTTTTCCATGATTCCACACAATTGAATTTACGGATGGTGAGCCTGCATCACCAGTCTGTGAATCAATGTCCAACTATTTCAAATTGTTACCATCTCTTTCTCATTCCTGTGTTGATATGTGATAGATAATAAAGAGAACTAATTTGAAATTAGTTCACAAACTAGTAAGTATTTAAACAATGCTAGTATCCTTTCGTGAATCCAACTGTGGTTCTACTTATATCAATTACTTATGCCTACTCTCTTCCATTCTCTTGAGCCACGCCTCTGCAAAGCAAAAATTAAACAGAAATACAGAAAAGCACTTTGAATCTTTAAACGTTATTATTTTCCATTTTATATAATATACACCATAAGGAAATGAACCTGTCTAAATCAGAGAACTGCGTTATTTAAAAAAAAATAATGTTTTTTATAGTGCACTCCAAAATTAGCATGCATTGCTGACCACTAAAGTATATAAACGATGTACCTATATACAGATGCGTCGAATACAATTTACGAATTTAAAATTCACATTAGATGTATAAAATGCACAGCTACATTGACAGATTAAATACATTTACAAAACTACTAGCACACCTGCCATTTACTCTCATCAATCTCTTAAGAATACGCCTTAAAATTATAATTTTTAGATACTGACTGAGGTAATAGCTAGATATATATACAACAAGTTTGGAACAGGATAACGGTTGTACTTATTCGTAAGAAATAAAGTGTGCATCATATATATTGTCTTTACTAATTATTTTTATATATTTATTATGTCAACCTATTTACAGAATACCATAAGAGTCGGATAACCACTTTGTAAAATAAATAGTGTATTTAGCTGTTAACAAAATGACTCCTGCCATACGCGAGAAGATATGTAAGTATCGCACGAACAAAGAAAATTATAACATTTACGGTTATGAGAACTTCTTTAACTACATCGATTAATACAATCAGTCATTCAATGTCATAATTCCGCATGCGATGCAAAAATAATAATTCAGTCATTATTATCTAAGTATGGACGTGTGTGATTCACAGTACGTTAACTATAAGCACTGCAGTTCCCAAATAACATTCCAGGTAAACATTGATCAAGCAGCATTTTCTGATTTAACGCAACAAAAAAACATTACTTCCTAAAAACAAAATTTGAACTCTAAGTCACCTTTCATGATTAATAAATTTTAGGAGCAGATCGATCGTTTACCACCTTGGCTCGCTTTAATGTCGCGCCTCGCTTAATCTGATCCATTAAAGATTCATGACAAACTTTCGGATCAGGTTGCGCTTTACTGTTTATAATTTGTCGAATTTTGAGCGCCTTCAATTGAGGCTGTTGCATGTTATTAGCCATGTGTTGTTGAGCAAGTTTGGCGTTGAGGGAATCTAGAAAGTTTTGGCCTGGACCTCGCGGCGTAATTTTCACCTGCGTACTTTGTCCAATGTTTATGGGTTGGAGATCTTCGGAATGACGACGTGACGTTCTCGGACTTAAGCTAGGTGCTAGTTTGGCGCTGAGAGCTGCTATGAAACTTGAACCGACACCGCCAGGACCTATAAACAAAATAATCATTTATTTTTTTTTAATAGTCTCAATACACAATATTCAATTACTTATTATTCAATATTACCCTTTTACCTATTTAGTAATATGCTGGAGAGTATCGTCCAAAGTCTGAGAACCCAGGTTTGATGAGTTATTCAGCATCAAAACTGCACAGCATTAAATTCGTCATCTCAGAACCCTGAATAAGCATAGGTTTATCATATTATGATCTCAGACCTCTGTGTGGAAGAATGTGACATGTTTCACACCGGACCACAATTAGCAAAGAAGTTTAGGGGCGGCAAGGTTGCTCTTGATTGTAAGTCACGTCAACCCAATCATGCTTCACAGTAGGAATTTTTACACTCAATAATTAAGAAAAAAAAGTAAATGATATTCACATACTTGAGGATGGCTATGGGGACGGCAAAGTTCTCCAAACGTGAAACTGTGCAATGGCGGAATGTACTTTGGAACGCTGGCATTCAGCCGTTATGCGACCGTTATAGATCAATGGCACACCCGGTGAGGCGTTATCGATCAAGTTTCGAACCTCATGATCTATATTGATGCTCACAGCTCCGACTAGGACTACATGGACAGCCAGTAGTGAATGTTGTGGCCATGACAGCATCATTGATTGTGTGGCGCCAGATATTTTGTTAATAAAGAAACGTTTTCACCGCGTCCAGGGGGGGTTTTAACATTCTATTTGGAGAATGTTCTAACCTCTTTAAAAACTTTGTTTTATTTCATCGTAATCCTTACATAATATTGAAGTATTATAAACATATCGCAATTTTCTGAAAAAAAAAAACATAATAGGGTCATCCCGCCTTCATTTTTTATTTCTGATCCACAAAGTACATTAAAAATAAAAAGACCCGTGTGTCCTCAATTTTTATTTGCGAGTAAAATAAACCCAAAATAAATTATTGAAAAGCTATGTTTTTAGTCCGAATTTGAAATGCTTCAGACTAAATACGTCACAAACCTACAACCAATCACGTAGAAGTGAGCTGGCAACCTTACGCGAGGGTCTGACGTTTGTCAGATTTGACGTTTTAAGAGGGATGTTTAACTGCATCTAGCACGAAAGTGACAAGTGCCTGTGACAGATGACGCAAGTTGTAAATGCCATTTTCCTGCAATATTGCCAAGTCGTTATGTCATCTGAATGGTTCTAGGAGCTGATTGGTCGGGCTTATTACGTCACAGAGCCCGCCACAATCATATCGTTTTGAATAAACCTTTAAAACCGCACATGTTCATTATTTTTTTTGCTAATCAGCCTCTATTTTTAAATAAACTTTTACTGTCCAAAAAAATGTTTTATGGTTTCAGGTACACGCTTATTAAATTAGAACTGCGGAATTCAACTATACTGTAAACCCCCATTCAAGTACATTTGCACCAGGCATGTTCAAATTTATGAAAGAAATCCTCAATATGACATTCCCAGGTCACCGATTATAAAAGGTTGCCCACAATACACCATTAATGATACCCTGGAAAACAAGTCGGTATCGCCGCCACTAGTAAAGAAATTTGGTCGACTTCAACCATACTTTTTATTTATTGATACGCCGTGACGTGACGTCACACCGGCAAACATTTAACAGCGATGAAACATCAATGTAAAATCACGTTTTAAAAGAGAAAAAATTTCTCCGATGTTGTCGTACAGGCTGAAAACTATTATAATGAAATTGTAAAATGCATTGGAAAAAAATAAAGTAAGCGAGTACATTTCCTGGAAGGTTTTCAGTAGCTCTCTTGCCTTCCTTGTAATCAATGAAATCCCTAGAGCTACTGTCGTGTGTTTCTGAATATCCACCGAATTAAACCTACACACATGATTTAGAAAAGGTAGATAGGACAACATACCACATTGTATGCACGTGTCCCAGATCTTGTCAAACTGGGGATGCACATCTTTCATTGCACAATCTTTAAATTTGCATGTGTGGGTGATCTCAGACCTTTCATTAAGAAGAACAATTGAAGTCCAATACAGAAGGAGATCAATTTTAATCTATATGGGCAGTGGACTTGAACCCTAATCTAATCCCAAATTCCATAAACAAAAAGTGTCGAAAACGAAGTATATGCTGCTCCTTTAATAAAATATAAAATGTCCGTTGATTTGCTTAATAAAATATTCCAGTAATTTTTGACGGTAAAATTCTAGATTATTTCTTAAATCAGTGTTAAAAATACACCCAATTTTCCATGCCTTGCTAAATAAATGACAAATTTGCTTACCTTCATTAGATCTCCTTTCGGCGCTTTGCGAACGAAGAGAATTCACACGACGGATCTCACTTGGACTTCCAGAAACAATTTGTGAGGGATGAGCATAGATAACTCCGGCAGATTGCGATACGTACGAAGGCTTTGGTTGTCCAGGATTTTGAAACGTGCTAAGTATTGGCGATTGTGATATTGACTGCGAAACGACAGTCGTTCCTTGAGAAGACGAAGACACACGTCGCATTGAGCTCGGACTGGCCGGTGTGTGTTTTAACTCTGTAAGTGCCTTAACTGTTTCGGCTACATTAACTGTAATTAAAGGTGTGATTTCAAAGTAGAAAAAAAGCACAATTTTTTACCTGATATATGATTTTTGGCGAGAGTGGTAGCTTCTAAGAGAAATGCTGGAGGAGGTGGCAAATTCTCATCACTGTGGACAGGGGTAAGTGGTCGATTGGTATTTGTAATTGACGACGTTCGACGAATTGGTGGAAGAGGTTTGTTGTTTTGCGAAGAACCACGACGTAACAATGTATTTCGGATAGTACCACTTGAATACATAGCTGTAAGAATTGTACATTCACTTACAAAAGAGAACGCTAATCAGTGAAATACATTGGCATGCATTTTGTGAAGCTAGCAAGATCTTTCTGTATTGTAAGAAAAATGCGCATGGAATCATGCACAAAGCTCGAATAGGTAAATCATGCACGAAATTAATTACCTGTCATTGACAAAGGACGGCGTCGAATTGCGTTCAGGTCTCCCTTACGTGGTAGAGTGCAGTACTTGCCGGCCGTCTCTAGATTAGACACCGACAGATCTAATAACACACTCTAGTCAGCACACACATGCTAACACGTGTTCTGCATGTTAAAACAGTTCAGATTTCATCCAACATAAATATAGATGAAACCCAACAATTTTAGCAAATTTTAATCAAAGAAAAGGGGAAGCTGTAACTCAAAGTAGGCAACGAAAAACAAGCAGAACATGTGCAAGATTAAAACGGTAATGGAGTTAGTAAAAATTGAGTTTTAAAATTATTCAGTGGATGAGGTGCAAAAATTTGCTCAAACGTATTCCCAAAAAATGCCAAAAACAAAAACATGCAAAGCAATAACAAAGCATTTTCACTACTACCTTCGATATGTGCAGCTTCCTCTACAGGAAAAGTTGTTTGACTTCCATATCCACTGGAGGACTCTAAAGAACTCTCACTAGTACTACCATCTTTCTCACCTTCGTTAGGACCCTATAAATTGAAAATTAAAAAATTTGCTGAAGTCACTTCAAAATACCTTTTCCGTCGAAGGAGGCAGAGGAGTGATGAACTCGGCAGGCGGCGGTGGCAAGTTCATTTCTTGAGCTTTATTGGCGGCCATACTCGCCAATTCGTGCATATTGACGTAAGTAGGTTGAGGTATATCTATAACTAATAGTTCAATTTTTAATATGTTGTGATTATGAATAATAAAAATACGAACCTCGAGAGATGTGAGCTGGAAGTGGAGTTGGTTTTATAAGCTTGTGTTCGATGTTGCCCGGAGGTAAAACACGAACACCCGATTTGATAGTTTTGGCAGGAACATTTGGCCCACTTGGTCTTTCCAGAGATGAACACCTCTGCAAAAATTCAAATAAAATATGTTCCTTTTAATATTTACAGACATTCCACCAAAATTTTGCATTACAGCAATGTAGTTTATTTTACATTTATGCACTGCACAACAGATTTGTAAAAAAAAGGACAACAAAGAACTTACATAGTTAAATAGTTCGAATGTTTGGTAGTGAAACATAAATATTATTCTGCGTAATGCATCAATATAAGAAAAAAAAAACCTACAGTGTGTTCGAGCTTAGAGGGTCACCTCAATATCTCTTTTATTTGGCGAGATATACGAAAAATTTGTCAAATATAATTTTATATGGGCCATTAGGATCTATCCGATCCCATATTGAAACTTCCGCTATCACTTCGGGTTTAACCGGATATCCGGAACTTTCAATATATTTGAAAAGAGCGTATTTACTGTACGGCAACATCAATATGCATGATATAGACAAAAATGGAGAATATTTACGAAACTTATAAAAGCCAGCAAATGCTTTAAAATTTCATGATTAGTAAACAAAAGAAATAGAAGTCGCTGGGTGAAAAAATTTGTTCAAAGTAAAACCTTTTTTGTTAAAAGTTTGGCTAGAGTCCAGAACATTAATCCCAATTTTTAAATTGCCGCTACTATACTAATTTCTATAATTTGTATGTTTACTTATTTTTATTTTAAATTAAATCGTAATTATCCCACACTAAATATTAACGCGCTCAGAATCACCATGTTTTAGAGTAGCAATTTTGTAAAATCAGAAATGCTGCGTAAAGTCAATAGTTTGTGCTTTTTATCTCTTATGGTTGTTACCATGGATGCTATGTGAGCTCTCATAAAAACTGTACTGCAGAGCATTACTTAACATTAATCAGATCAACTTTAAAATGGGTCGAAAGATACAAAGAAAGCTACCTTACATGTCCAAAAGGAGACTTCTTCCAAACAGCCCACACATTACTTACCGTGGGTAAAGGTGGTTTACTCTGAGTAGATTTCATAGAAAAGGTGGAACTTGTAGTAGGAATACCTGGTGCATTTTCGGTTATAGGAGTGATGCCGGTCACAGGACTAACCGGTTGGGACAAACTTTGATCTGGAGCTTGGAATGTATATACAGTTAAAGGTGGTCGCAAATGTCCCTTTTCATATGCTAAAAAAAATCACAGTTAAAAGCAGAAACTCGGCAATTAATTTGTGACAAACCTGAAGAAATCGTATGAGGACGGTCACTGATAATAGCACTTGCAGCTCGTTCAAATTGGAGCGTTTCTTGCAGATTAGGCCAAGTCGCTGTCGTTGCGGGTATTGTCGAAGATGAGAAAGGTGTACATGGCGTGCTGGAACTGCTACTGTTGCTGCTATTTTCAGAAGCATTCGAAACCTAAGAGACGAAAATATGTTGTAAATTTTACCGTAGATGGAAGAAATTTAATGTGGTGTAGATTACCTGAGCAACACTTAGTGAAGAAGGAGGTCTAGGGTAAAGTGTATCTTGAGAAGTAAATCCAGAATCTCGACTCGAGACTGAAGCTAACCTCACTATACCATTTCGAACTACAGACTGTTTACAAGACAACATCAAAACTAATAAGCAAATTATAAACACAACACATTATAATTTAACAAAAAATAAAATATACGGCTACTACTATAATGTGAACAGTTAATCAAAGACTGATTAACCATAATATAAATGTATGCAAAAAAATTTCACATGACGTGCTGCATATTTTAAAAACAACACAAACCTGCGATAGAGAATGCTGCCAATGGGGATGACTGGGGGAATGGTGACTTTTTGAGCTTCCCGAAGAGGAACTATTTAGAGAACTAATTGAACACATGGAAGATTTTCTAGAGCCTAAACTCGATGGCGAGGACGGCGGCGTGTGGAACGACCATCCGCTATCCGAACTCTTTAGATCGGCTATGACTTGTTCGGACGCGGGCGGTAAAGATTGCGGATCTGATGTGTTTTTTTCTAACTGCGACACAACTTCCTGAAGATGGGATAATTCCGTTAACATGGCAACTTCTTCATCCTTGAAAACAAATTGAAAACACCACGGAATAGGAACTACTTAGTCTTACCACAACCGGTTTTAAGAACCCCACAAAGGTACAGAATCTGCTGCGTTCTTCGACCAATGCGGCACGCACAGCTCGTTTTTCTGTTTCTTCTAATAACTGTCTTTTTTCACTAACATCTTGTAAGCCACATTCTATTCTTTTATGTAAGTCACCGCCAGCACCTTTGCGTACTTTTTTCTGTAGTCTCAGCGTATCTGTGGATCGTTTCTTTAACTCTGACCTTGCTCTTTTGTAATCTACATAAAGAAAGGTGTTTAAAATAAATAGAGATATTTTGTGTAATTTACTGGATTAATTGCTAATTTTGCAAGAAACATATAACACAACTTTTTCCTATTTTATGAAACTTGAAGAGCGAATACTATCATATCATTTTCTGTTATCTTTAGCCATGCTACAAAATCTGATTTGGGCGGTATGGGAGTTAACTTATATTTGATTGTAAGCTTGATTTTAAAGAAAAAAGGAGTTAAATATTATCTTTGAACATTTGCCATACATCCTATATACGTATTTAGTAGACAAGAGATAAACTTCCATCAGAAATGTTGAAAAAATTTTTTGATATTGACCAAGTTGTATTTGTTATGCACACTTGTAGACTTGATGTGACGAGGAAACTTACCTTTGGCGTGTTCCTTATCCAAGTTTAAAACGGTTTTTTTCCAATCTTCCAACTTTTCTTGCAGAGGAACGACGAGGCAATCCATGACCGCACTAAAAAGATAAGACCATTGTAATAATCTTTCAAATTGAATGATTTATAATTTCTCTTTGTATACAATATACAGAATGGGCCGCAACAAAAACACTTGCAGTGAAAATATGAGCAAATTATGATGAAACTAAACGACTTAATATAGTGATAGATACAGTGTTAGTGTACACCCTTAGTATCAAATTCACACAATATTAGAAATCTGATCCAATTTTATATTTGTATAAAATGTTATTGATAACGGGTTAAGGGGGTGTCAGTGCAGTAACGAATCTTTTTTCATACTGTAGGTATAATATGCGATTATCTAGCGTTTTTTGATATTATATGATAAACTGTACAGGGACCGTTACCTTTAATTCCTCTTTGTGTTATGCTGAGAAAAACGTCAACAACTTTTGACTCACTTACTTTCAAACGAAATTACTTATTTCTTTGTTTACTTGTTTCTTTGTTTTGTTTTGCTAATTCTTTCTTTTCCTTTCTGTTTAGTTTTTATTCTTTCAACAGATTTCCTTTTGTCAATGTGCTCTGGAGATGTCAAAATTGCTCCAACTTGCCTTGATCGCTTTGTGGCCTTTTCAATAACAATTGAAGGAGGTATATACTTGGAATTGTATTTAATTTATTTAATAGTCAGTGGTGTATTCGCAAATAAGTGCCGGAACGCCCATCTTGTCTATGTACAGGGTAAGTAAAAAATTCCAGGACGAGTATATCCGGTATTTATGAAGCATTTATACTTCGAGAATTTTAGGTTTCATCCATTCGCTTCGCGTCTATAAAAATCGCCCCGGTGTGCTCTCCTTTTTTAAAGTAATCAAGAATGAGCTTTACAAATTTGGCTATAGCGTCAGAGGTAAATTTATCTAAATTCTTTTGTTAATTAGTTTTTCAAAGACCAACGAAAATGTTGGAAAAATGGAGATGGGCCGGTGGTTTGCAACATTACGGGTATCACCCTTTTTATGGTGTGGTGGTACCGCTGCCAATTTGAGTTGATCTGGGAAAATCCCTTTTGAAAAATTCCTTGATCAACTTCGAAAAAGGTAACACATATTTTGTGTGGGTTTCTATTCTAATTAAGTTTCGATTACATGTTCCCTTATTTATGTGTTTCAGACAAGAAATAGCATTAAATTAATTAAACAATTACTAACTAACTTTACAATAAAGAACTAAATTTAAAATGACAATTCATCAACTTTTTCCATTTATGTGTCTATTTGAAATAAAATTCCCCAGATCCTACGAAACAATTTGAATGATTTTACATACAGGATGTTCCGACTGCTATTCCAATACTATCCGAAAATACGATAACAACACGTATTTTTCTTCACTACAGGATGGCTCGCTCTCATCTTCGGCATTGTTCCTACCTACAGAAACGACATCCCCATGTAGTTTACAGAACAATATAAATATTGTATAATCGCGACGATAATCTTTTATGAACAATATCTCGAAAAATATCGTCATATAATGCCATACGGTATTTCGCCTACACGTTGTAACAAATTAAAATTTATTAGAAATCACGAAGATCAAACTACAATTACTGGTATGTCATAGATTGTGACTAATTAATTCATTAGATTATCAAAGGTGTCCACCACTACAAAAGATTGCTACTAGCATTTACACGATTCAAACCAATAAAGTTATTTTTGATGCAAAAATTGCTTATATTTTCATTAAAAAATACATATGTAATGGAATTGCTTAAATTAACCCTTTCATAACCAAAAGATTCCAAATATGGAAAAAGATTTAAACTAAAATATGATGGTATCAAAATACGCAAGACAGGATGGGAAAAAGTGAGTGAACCAACACAATGTTTTTTTTTCAATTGTTATACACATCTGGTAGTTTATACAAAAAAAAAACTTATTCGGATGCATTATGTAACGCCAACAAAAGCCCACCAAATTAATTGTTTCAATTGTACCATTTGCATGCAAAATTGAATTCGAAAGGCGCTCTTTTTCGCCGATTCCATTTAGAAATTTGAAATAAATGACTTTGAAACATAATTTATTCATTCTTCCGTTGCGGAAGAAAATAAGTCAGTGCAAGTGGGTTTAAAGACATACTGCAAAATTGCCAATTTGAACACAAATTTTCATTCGACGCAAATAGAGACGATGATGAATATAACCTACCTTGTAAAAGTCTTCAGGCGAGTTTCCACCGCTTTGTGTCTCAGGCATATCCTTGTAAGCGCAGTTCCGATTTCCTTGGTAGCGCCTGCAACAATTTTATATCACGTTACAATTTATTCATGCAAATTATATCAATCAATGCATAATGACTTGTCTCTTATCTGGAACAACGCGTCGCCCCCCTTAAAGCGAATTAATGTAAACAAAATTCCGTTCAGGTATAAATTATCCCGAAATATGCGTGCTTTGGTTGAGCCAGTGGGGCATGAGTTCAACTCTCGACATGAACCAGGGGGAGAATTACTACAAGGATGGAGGATCAATAGTAAATTCTAAAAAAAATACGATCCCGGGTCACTAAACCCTACAGAGGATCACGAGGATGAACCAGGATAATACTACGATTAGGTTTATGGCCAATTTTACCAAAGCTCGCTCTCTCTAGGCGAGTAAAGAGAAATTCGGTTTGTATTGTGGAGCTGTGAAAATGGCCCAATAGGCGAACGCGATAGGTTTAGTTGAAAGTTGTCACGAAAATTGCCTATGACGGTAATCTTTTAAGGGTTAAGTAAAAGCAAGTTTCAAGCACGTCTGTCCTTAACTTCTATGTGGCATACGATACAACCTCAGGAGAGTTTTCGTAGATACACATTACTCATTTCATACACACGTTAAGAAAGGAAGTATATTTATTTAAACAATTAGTTAACACTAACATGACAAATGATTAATGCACACCAGTTATACATTTTTAAGTTATTTCGCAACTGATTTTATTGTTGTGGTGAAATCTAGAACGTACTAGAGCCATCGGGGTTCTGATGATTTCACGTACGGTCAGGCCAACTCCTCACTCCTCTAGCAAATATTCCTCGTTTAATTTCAGTCGAGTTTAAACGGAAACGTTTTTTAATGTTTACGAAAAAGTTAGTCGAAGTGTTGCGTTTATCGAGCGTTTATTGTAAAAGGAAGTTTTTTCCTCCGTCAAAGAGTCAATATTGCATCTGTAATTACAGCGAACGAAGTAATAGCAGTTGGTTTTTGTGGATCTGTTTAAAGAGAATCGCAGTAATGACCGGATTTTAACACATTAAGGTAAATTAAGATTTCTTTTAATTAATTTGTTCAATCGATCGCTTGTGCGTGATAGTTGTCTGCTGGCCCTGAGCGCCATTATTTATTTCAGCTTTATTATTGAATAAATAAAAATAAATAAATTTCTTTTATCTGTAGCTTTGTTTAATTGAGCCCAAATTACGACCTAGATAAGTGTTCTCACGCCAAATTTACTGTTGGCGCCCAGGGTTATGCCAGGTGTTTAAATAATAATTTTAAATTCAGTTCTTTGGAATTGTGGGACTGATCAAGGCTGCAGAGTTTTTTCAAATTAATAAAATTAAAGATTTTTTCGTAGTAGTGGATGCCGGACCTGCCTTGGAAAGGGTATAATCATTCCGTATAAAAGACTTTGTTAGTACCTACCTGTGTTTAATTGAGTTAGCGGGATAGGTGCTTGTGGGTGGTTTAGTGACCGGTCGCCATTGCATATAGCAATATTGAATATAAAAATACACATTACCTTATAGATAAGATGATTATATAAGGTATGATCAACGAAATTTTGATTCAGGGAATTTCGAACAATTTAAGATTTAGGGAGAGGAAGAAAAAAGCGATTAAGCGATTGTAGAAGGCAAAGTGCCCATAATAGTCCAGTCAATAGAGACCTAAATAGGGGAGTTTAGTCAAAAATTTGGTGTCCAAGAGGTTATGACTGATTCTTATGTATTTTTTGGCGTAGATTCCGAATTTTTAATCTCCCACCAACCTTAGGGGGTGGGAACCCCCCCAAAATGCAAAAAAACCCAAAATTTCGGCCCAAAATTCAGAATTTTGGAAAAATCTCGCTAAATTTAGATTTTTGGCCCAAAGTACCTTAGTTCAAAATTAAAGTACACAAAATTTGCAGGAAAAGTGATATATACACTTTTGGTCTAGGACCAACGGGGGCGGAGATAAGAGGGGGGTCAAAAAAGGGTACTTTGTTGGAAAACGTGAAAAAAACGGAATTTCTCTGAATAACTCGCTAAATGTTGGTTTTAGAGAAAAAACTCAAAGGACCAAAATGAAAGTAGACGAAAAATTACTTCGGAAAGTGCACGTGTGCGGAGCCGATGAAGGGGGGGAGGAGGGGGAGGGGGCGAGCGCAAAACCTCTCTTCCTGGCGCCGCGCGACGGCACTGGCATAAGGCGCTATACGCGCAGTTTCGGGTATCTCTGGCGGCCTCGGTCCCGGTCATAACGGATGCTTCTTTGTCCTTATTTTAGAAAGGGGCCTCTGGCTTCCCCCTCCCTCTTGTTGGTCGTTTGTATGCTTTTTGTGTCCTCTGGAAACCAGTTCAAGATCCCTCTTCAGTGCGTCTGTGTTGTCGCGTCGTGCGCATCACGCTATATTGCTCCGTGCTTATTTACTATTTTTCGCCTGAGCCAGTAGAGGTTGAGTTTTTATTTAAAGATGGCCTAAAAAAGTGCGAAAGTAACGTTTCTTGCTGTCCGCCATGCAAATCAGAATTTCAGACAAATACTACAATCTCCCCCAAAAATTGTAACTCGAGCACTAAATAAACAAGTATAAATTGTGCACAACTCCTGTGCAGATAAAGCGCATTTTTTTAACCGAAATAGCTTTTGTATGGACATCACCAATGGATATATTTCTTGCAGACGTTTCAATCGCCCTTTGATAGTACCCTCTTCCGACAATCCGTTCTTAAGGTATAAGGTAATATACCCGATCACGATAAGAGGTCGAGGAGGAGGGCTATGGTTGGTAGAAATTAATTCCTTGCGTTGAGACCTTTCATTAGAGTACCATGAAGGTTAAAACTAGTTTCACTCTCTCCCCTCGAGAGTATATGCAAGCGAACAAACTCAAAACGCACAGGCGCGCGAGCACGATATTACAGAAAATTTCGGTAAAAACAACAAACTTTTAACCGAAAAATAGTAAATAATAAAATAAATAAGCACGGAGCAATATAGCGTGATGCACACGACGCGACAACACAGACGCACTGAAGAGGGATCTTGAACTGGTTTCCAGAGGACACAAAAAGCATACAAACGACCAACAAGAGGGAGGGGGAAGCCAGAGGCCCCTTTCTAAAATAAGGACAAAGAAGCATCCGTTATGACCGGGACCGAGGCCGCCAGAGATACCCGAAACTGCGCGTATAGCGCCTTATGCCAGTGCCGTCGCGCGGCGCCAGGAAGAGAGGTTTTGCGCTCGCCCCCTCCCCCTCCTCCTCCCCTTCATCGGCTCCGCACACGTGCACTTTCCGAAGTAATTTTTCGTCTACTTTCATTTTGGTCCTTTGAGTTTTTTCTCTAAAACCAACATTTAGCGAGTTATTCAGAGAAATTCCGTTTTTTTCACGTTTTCCAACAAAGTACCCTTTTTTGACCCCCCTCTTATCTCCGCCCCCGTTGGTCCTAGACCAAAAGTGTATATATCACTTTTCCTGCAAATTTTGTGTACTTTAATTTTGAACTAAGGTACTTTGGGCCAAAAATCTAAATTTAGCGAGATTTTTCCAAAATTCTGAATTTTGGGCCGAAATTTTGGGGTTTTTTGCATTTTTGGGGGGGTTCCCACCCCCTAAGGTTGGTGGGAGATTAAAAATTCGGAATCTACGCCAAAAAATACATAAGAATCAGTCATAACCTCTTGGACACCAAATTTTTGACTAAACTTTTCTCTATTGACTGGACTATTAGCACTAGCAGCATTGCCGCGCTGAATGGCCAGACTAAGTTTCTAATTACTAATATTAATTAATAATTGTCTACACTACCATAAGTTGACCAACCTTTGAATTACTGGTTTGCGCTCATACGTTCATAGGTTCATAGTTGTTTTCTTAAAAGAGCTTCCTTAAATATTAGCATGTTTTTAAGAAAGACCCTGTATAGTGATAGCTTTCTTTTCCATAAAATGGGCACATGTGAACTCGTGAATTTAGCCCCTCACAACTACCAGACACCTTGATAATCGAAAATTAGTCCTTTTGCGTTGTAAATTAGTATTTGAAGTTGTAACCTTTATACAGGGTGTTCCTTAAAGGCATGCTACTATTTAAGGGGGTGTTTCAATAAAAATTATTTTTTAAATCCTCATTCATTTTTGAGAAAAATTTGATCTTCTGCATTTTCTTTGTCCGACGAATGGTTTTCGCTTAAAAAAATAAAAATTGTCTTACTTTGGGATCAATTTTCTAAAAATAAGCGAAATTTTGCTTTCGTTATATAGGTAACGTAAAGTGCATGCAACATAGTATAATTTGTACCCTCAAAGGCCAACCAAGAAATAGTGTGAGTTTTGTAGTAAATATCAATACCTACGGAAATTTTAACCTTCGGAATCTGGAAAATGATGTAAATGCGCAACGGCGTTATTAAATTCAAAGAGATTTTCCGCAGAGTTAATTACTAACTCATAAATCATAAGTGCCCGTGACATATGTCGCCGTGCTACTACAAATTACAACGACTAGGTGAAAAACGTGAAAGAACTTTGAAGAACTGTTATGAGAGCTTGTTTTATGTTGTCATTCGTTCATAATGTAAATGAGAATGAATGCAAGAATAATTACGGATTATCAATTTTAAACGTTTATAACTACTAATCCATCAGAGATACCGTATTCGATAACCGTATAAATTAAAGAAAAAACACAGACGGCGCGGCACTTTTCTCAACACTACAGTTAAACGCCTATGTAATTATTTACCTACTTCATCTTATGATGAGTTTATTGTAACCACTTCAATTGAACTTCTGATTCTTTGCGCAACAGCTTGCACACGTATCCATTTTTGATCCTTCGACCTAACTCGATAAGAAGCTGCTACCCGTTATATATATCTAAAATTTCGAGATGTTTAAAACACATACTATCCAAGATTGGTATAAAACTACCCCCTTGTGAACGGTATTTCACCCTAACTGCCATCCTTATTCTGCTGAAAATGAAAGCAAACCACTTCCAATAACGGCCTTTACGCACGTTGATTAAAGCGATTTAT